GCAATTTTGTCTGCTGAAAAATTGTCATATTTAAAAGCATATGTTGTCAGAACAGAATATCAGTTACTGGTACTTAAACCTCAATCATAGAAGAAGTTTGATTATCTTTTTAGTCAATACTGATTTATAGCCTGTGAACTGTGCAGATATGGGAACAATAACTGCAGTCCACTGAAACTTCTTTCGTTAATGTTAAAGACCTTTGGTATGAATTTCTCTTTTATTAAGTTGAGCTTCCAGACATATTTAATAAAAAACTCTCAACTCAGTTCCTTTGTGAATTCTTCTGTGCACCAAAGCCGTCTTACTTAGTTTCTACACCCACACACCTTTTGTTATCCCACTGCAGACACTTTGATGCAGTAATTCTCTAAAGGTGCAGTATATTATGCATCGTATACAATAATTTAGATGCACGTAAAGATGAAAAATTAACAAACATTGTAAAGCTGTACAAGCTGCCTTGAGTAATAGATCTTCATTCATCTGCGACAACTAAATGAGAATTCCTTTTGGCGTAAGCAGTAGTTGGCTTGGAAATAGCAGAAAGGTGAAGATGAATGTAGATGCAGTAAAAGAAAAGCTACTATTTCACCTTCTCCTCTAGTTGGATGTCGGCCTTATTGTGGTTGCTTGCTTAATGCACCATTTTTTATGTTTTATTGTTTTATCATTAGTACTTTATCATAAGATGTTTTATCTGTCTTCTTGCTGATTTCTTCTTCACATTATTTTCAGATTCATTGTTTCTTAATTATACCGTGGTTGTAAATGTACAGCATTTCAACAACTGCTAAAGTAAGTATCCTCCTCGCTTTTGTCTTATGTTTATTTATAGTGCCCCGCTTTCACGGAACAATTACGCTTTCATTTTGACTTGAGTACCCCGAGGATTAATGAGGGGTTTTAATGTGGTCCTTGGGGTAAATTACATGTTGTCCATCATTATTGTTCATTAAAACAGGAGTATGAAATCTCTCAGCAGTTGACTTGAGAGTTGAAATTCAAATATAACGAGTGGCCTGGTTGCCATGCATGCCCTTAAACAAAATTAACTTTTAAAAGATACCTTGGATATCAGAAGGATGCATCTACACAAATGCTAGTGGCTTTTAATTAACTCTCTGTAACCATGAGATACCGTGTGTGCCTGGCTGTGTGTCGTACATAACAAGTACGTTCACTCGCCTTCCCCTGCTTCTTGAGAGCATTAGTTAGAAGAGAATGAATTAGAAGGCCTGAAGAATGTGAGAATGAGGGATAATTTGAGCGAAAGCTGCGGAACTCGAAACCTCACACAGTCAGCTATCAGCGGGAGGAGCAGGGGATCAAACCACCAACCAAACTAATTCCATCAGTAACCTGCACATTGTTAGAAAATCAGCAGTATCATGAGCACCATTTCTGTTAGTATCATTTTTTGCTAATTCTTTTAAGTAACTGGATAACAATAAAAAAAATATAATCTTTTCAATGTAGAGAAGTAAAAGAAAGATAAATAAATGCATAAAATTCTCAAATGCAGGCACTAATAACCAGACAGGGAATGTGTTTTCTGCCCATCCAGTGAATTACATACCTGACAAATTGAGGTACATAATAACATTGATGCAAAAATCATTATAGGAGGTCCATGTTCAAATCATGATGCATATTTTTCCAATTCTTTTTCCATCCTTCCATTTTTTTCTTCATAGTCATTTTAACACCTGGTTAGGTCAAAAGTAGTTACTGACTGTAGCTGGTAGCGTAGCTCAAAGTTAGAGAGGTACTGTTGCTATGGTTACCTGCAGTTTCATATACCTGCTGACTGATTTAGAACTAGACAAGTTTAGCTGTTGACCAGAACTATGTGCAAGGTGTTCATTACAAGGTCTTCATATACACTTACCAGCCAGTCAGAAACAGGTATTTGCTGTGAGAATGGCACGACAGAGTCTGTCGGTGTTGATGATGTGTCCAGCAGTAACATAAGTTAACATATAGGTTATGGCCAGGAGAATTTAACCTCCATGGCAGCATCATGTTGTTGTGTTGTATTCTTGTTGTTGTACGTTAATGTTGTCACTTAGGAATGCTGCTGTTCCTTTACCAGGTATTAAGTTACTTTTCTAGAACCGACTAGTTATATTTTTGGAGAGGAGAACCCGAGCTGCCTCAGTGGCATGTGAGGAATTGTATGGGAACTGTAATATATAAGGAAATGTTGGCAAGCTTCCTGATGCAGGTTAACAGATTGAAAACTACAAATCCCATTTGTCCTTGAAATTGCTGCATCGAAGTATGGTAGGCCCTCCCACTTCACATCAGTCAGTCCTTGGGGCAGTTCTCAGTGAATGTAATTGAAAGCATACTTTGGAAGTGCTCGGCATTTTGCACTTGTTGTCTCAATAGCTTAGCTCATGCTTGTCTTTTGAGATTTGCTGCAAAGAGGTGAGATTCTATTTGCTTCTTCGTTGTATGTGTTATATCATCATATATTGAAGTGAGACGTGAAGGGCAGCATGGTGCTACCTGCATAAATATTTAGATTTTGATAATAGATTTTTGTGATGTAAAAGAAAGGAAGAGACAGTGTCAGTGTGTTGAGTATATCAGTTGTAAGCTAAGGGAGGCAGAAGGAGACTCTGTTTATTCTAGCCACTATAGTGCTAAAGCTCTTAGCAGCCAGATAGCATCTTTATTGCTCATTAAAGCTCTGTCAGATAGCCACCAAAGGGACAGTGAGATCACAACAGAGGAGTTGGTTTTGTTGTTATGTGCAGTATCCATGATAAGCAGACTAATCATCTCCTAATTGTTTTATTTTACCTCTCAACTAACTTTTTAAGGTACAGTTGGCACTTAGTCTAGTCTTTTGTATAGTATTGCCAATATTTGTACAATATCGCCAGTCAAGTAGTTGGAGTATTGCTCTGCCACATACAGTCACATTCAGTCTGTTGCATATCCTTCAGTGCAGTTCAACTTTGCTGTTATCAATACATTTCTAAAATGCCCAGAAGTACATCTTTTTTGTGTCTTATATCTCTCTATTATATGCACTACAGGTCTAATAAAGTAACATTGAATTAATAAGACTAATAACTAAAAACCTAATATGAAGTCAATTCAAGGGAAGAATGTCAATCAGGTAATGATTGTTGTCCTAACATTGTGCGTTTTGAAATCATCTTCACACTAGCATTACTAGAAGCTGAATGAACATTTGTCAGAAAGCTATTTGACCCCACAGCGGATCATTTCATTGGGTCATGACGACCATAATAATCGACTATGCTCTGTTGTTGAAGTGGCAAAAGGTTTTTGATTAATTACCGGAATTGTCCAGGTCCTCTCTTGTGTACTAGCTATTTCCTGGGTTTAATGGACACTCCATTAGTCCATTTAGAAAGGAGTAAATGGGATGACGATATTCAGTATCTGTCTTTTCAGCTACGCCTGAACTACCAAATAATGACCTTTTTACAACACATATATATATTATATTATATTTTTATCCTCCTACTTTTGTTGAAATTTATATTTTTAGATGTGCTTTGACATTGAAGGCATCTTACTGACCACACTTCACTCACACATATTTATAAATTAAAAGAATACAAAAATATACAGACATAATGCTTAATGAATTAATTATTCAGTTTACAACGGTTTTAAGTTAGACGTTACTGTAGCTTATTGAAAGTGAAATGCTCAATTTATGCATCTTTCAGTTATATTGCACAGCTACAGTACAATGTATTTTTTTCATTACTCAGACTAACTGGACTGTATAGGTGTGTAGATCATAGATGAAATAGACAACGTGAGTCGGGGCTGTCGGACAATATGGTATTCAGTCATATCAATATACATTTGAATGAATGGAGTTTCTCTTGTTAGTGATGCCAGACATACAGTTGATGGCAACTAATTATAAAACCCTGTTGTGAGGGCATTTACATTTTCAAATCTCAAACAAACCAGCCACATTTTCTGAGTGGCACAAGGTGATATTTGCAATCAAATGGGCTATAAATGACACTGGTCTAAATGTAAAATAAAATATATTCAAATATTTAAAATTAATGTGTGTACATTAATTTGATTTGACTATTTGATTATTTGTCACAGAACAAATTGCTCTGTGTTTTAGCCTCAGTAATTGGTCTCCAAAGGAAGCCATAGAGTGCACAAGTCAATTTGTGCTGCATCAAATCAAACTGTGTCTAACCTTTGACCTCTACGTCCATTTGTCAGTCATTAAAATCAATATCTGGGTATGTCTCTCTGTCTGTCAGTTCCCTCAGTGTTACACACTTCCCTTTTCTCCACAGTCATCCCAATATGGCAACCAATGAGATTGACCAAGAGGGTGTCTACTGATCTCCTGTGGTTTGCATTAAGTGTCCCATCTTTTCTTCAGTCAGCTGAAGTATTGTTTTTAAATTTACTAATGTGTGTTTTCCTTGCATGTGCCCTGTGAAATAATAGCTCAGAAATACATTTGTACATTCAATACATTGTATTTCCTATCAAGCTCCAATACGATCAATTTCCACTGTAAATGTATTATATTATATTTACTTGTATCAAGAGCCAATGAAACTTTGGTGGAAAACTCTAGACAGTAGGCCTTGACTGTGCAGTAAGAAGCAGCTGCTCATACATGGGATCTGATGCAACTTTTGGAAACATCCAAAATGGATTTAAGCAACATAACCGAGTATTTTGCATGTTCTTGGTTTTACTGATATTCCAAAAGAAATATCATCTAGCTAACATAGTGTCAGATCCCGTCATGGACCTTCTTGTTGCACAAACTATGTTGAGATTCTCCCTCAAAGTTAGAAAATGGATGAATTCTAACTCAAGATGCAAGCAGGTGGGGGGGAAATGCAGTGGCATCTTGAGTGGCATCCTTTTCTTACTCTTTCCCCTCTCCTTCCCTTTCCTGCTTTCTAAACCCCTCTCTCTCCTAACCTGTGCCTATCTGTGTCTATGTGTGCTGCGTCCAGGTATCAAGAGGAGTACAGTATGGATTCAACCAATGCCCAGTAAGTCCCTGGCAGCATCATGCTTGCATGGCATGGAATTTTTTTTTGCGAGCACCAAAGCACATAGGTAGCAGTGTTCACTTTGGATTTTGCATAGACTGGATGTGGAGATAATGCCTCGACAGTATTTAGAGGTTATATTACCATTACATGTGTCTATAAAGTGGGCAATGATTGTTGTGGTAATGGTGCTTAGGATAATCATTCATTGTGGCTACCTTTTCAACAATTGTTGTGGTAAAGACTCACGGGAAACATTTAGCTCAACACAGATTTTTCTCATATTCGATCACACCACAGGAAATGGTGAAAAGGCAGCTTGTGTGTTTTTTTTCATCAACTTGTTCCAGGTGTATTTTCTGTCCCCTGACTGAATGTCCACACCAGTTTCCCCTCTGTCAGTACTGTGTCAGGGCTTTAAGCATTAGTCATGTGGGGAGAGATGAGACACCAACTAAAATCTGCGCAGTTATATTGGTGAAAAAGGTGATAAAAACACCCACATGTAAATTGTTTGTGCTGTACTTAGTGTGTATTGTGCACGCTGCTGAGTCACTGACCATATGAATGTTTATAATGGAGTTTTGGCTGTTGTGATATGGATGGAGCATCAGGTTTTTATTACATTCATTGTGTGAGAATCCACTACAATACCCAAGCTGCACAGATGTGGTGATAAAAGGGGTGAATCAGTAAATCACAGTAAAATTTGTATATGTTTTGTTTGGAATTTGTCAAGATAATTCTTTAAAATTTAGTTTTGTTACCTTGTTGTCGCCTTTGCGTTAAATGTTTTGCCCAGCTACATGCAAGTGTGTATTTTATCTTGTTGGTGTTCCGCAATATGTTACTTGATTTGTGAAAGAAAATAAAAGGCACAGAAGGGGGTTTTTTGCTTTCAGTACCAAACATTTATATATTTATGACTTACAAATGAATTAATGACAGAATTGGGTATCCCCTTGGTGCTGTTGAGGTGAATTTGAGTTGTTGTTGAATGAGTTATTGTTTTGGGTTCATGGCTTGTAATGATTTGGTTTGTTAATAAACCCACAAAATCCCAAATGTGTGTTTAGCCAGCATGAGAAGTACAAACAGCCACAACCACAGTTGACTGCGATAGGCTGAAACACCTGTCAATCAAGCAAATCTAAAAATACTATTGAATCTGGGATAGAATAAAACATTAATCCTCAGAACTTATAAGAAGCTTTAAGATCCTTCTTTTTTCTAAACTGACATTCAGGTTATGCTGGTTGGTACCTTTTTATAGTCTACTACTTTTATACTGTATATGATTTTTTTTCAACCAGCATGTAGTCAATACATGCTGGTTGAAAAAAAATGTAGTCAATACATGCTGGAAGTTCTTTTATGTCAAAAGCTGGCCTGCTGCCGAGGTTTCAGCTTGAGTGTGATGTTTGCCGGGACTGGGCTGCTGTTAGAAAATGGATTGTGATCCTTTGGGATATGCGGGGTGTGGAGGGCTATAAACCATTGTTGGCATGCAAGTGTTCCCTGTTCAACTGTTGTCTTCTTTTGTATTGAATCTATAAGAAGAAATTCAGGCTGACAGACCACATTGTCTTTTGTGTTATATGCATAATGTAAATCCTGCGCGCACACACACACACACACACACACACACACACACACACACACACACACACACACACAACACACAACACACAACACACAAAAGCCGAGGGCCCTGCATCTCAACATAATGTTAAAGGAAATAAGGATCATAAACATTGTAATGCATATTTACCTACAAGTGATTGACCTTGTTTTTTTGGTACAGTCGTTTGCCCACAGCAGCCAAACACGCAGTGTCTGACATAACACTGAGGTGTTTCCTGTGGGTGCAAAAAAAAGTTAAAGCGAGCTTGTAATATCACAGGAAATGTGAAAAAAAACTTTTTTTTGGTTTCAGCTCATCAAAGAGCAACTTCATCATTGCACCTTCAGAAAACCACAACGATTGGTTTCAGCACATCAGCACGGTAAAGGGTGCTCGAGGGTGCTTTCTTAGTCGGTGCTTAAACCACTGTAGCTGGTTCCTCTAAATATGGAGAAGCTTAATGGTGAGACGTCCCTTAGTAGCTGCACTCGGTAGGTAGCAGGTTTTATAACAAAATAATTCCTGGAATGAATTGAACATCTGAACAATGTGACACAGCATGATCTTCATTTATAATCCTTGCTACCTGCTGTTCCTTTTCAAATGAGGCTAGTGTGATATGAGCACTTAACTTTTTCTGAAAGTGATACTGTGTGAAACAGTATTCTTAACTGTTTATGGAAAAGTAAAGTCAATTGAGCAGTTGTAGAACATTTCACATTCAAGTGTGCTCATTCATATTTTTGCTTTATCTTAATCGTCATGTTTCTCTACAGAGGTTTCTATTTATACAATTCTTCTAAAGCATCCAAATGACAAAACATTCCTCTGCATTCTATCTTTCTTACTTGTCTTTCCCAATTATTATTGACATTATACAGTTGTGCTTTACTTTTATATTGTTGAAGGTTTGGGGATAAAATACTGATAAAAGCTGATTCAGCTGTAGTAAAAATACGCCCGCAATATTAGAGTTGTAGCTTAGTTATATTAAAAATACCCTTTCTGTTAGTTTGTTAATGAAACATTCAAATTTCACTTTTAAGGGCAGAATCATGTCATAGTCATTTAGCTGCAAAGCAGAAGACTGCACTGTATGGAAAGGAGTAGTGAAATTCACAGGCGTCTATCCGTGTTATTACGTTGAGTTCCTATTAAGTTCTCTTAATGTCCTTGCTCATCTAAAGATTTTAGAGTCCTCTTACTTTTTTTTTTCTCAGCAAATTGCTGCATCTTAAAAAGCCAGACCATGTCCTGGAGCAGGAGCTTTCAGTTGACACTTTGTCATTTTTACTCTAGGAAAGGCCCTCTTGGGCATTATGAAGTTTCTTTCTTAGATATTATTTCTTTTCTTACTCAGTGTAATGTCCCATTTCTCAGACAGTTTATGTTTAACATCATTCTGTCATTCTCTGAGCTTTACTATTTATAGTTTGATGCCCGGTATGTTGCAAGTTTTCTTGAATAGAAGTTTCTGAGAAAGACAAATGCTAAGCAAGCAGATCTTATACAGAACCCTTAGTGGCCGTTTTACATGGCCCAAAGATGCCATCATCCAATCTGGCAGCATTGTCCTTTCAGGCCCCATTAAGGCACTGAGGTATCAGTACTGTTTACTGTGCTGAGCTTTAGCCACAACAAGACTCTATACATGATTTGGATCTGTTAAACAGTTTCTAATAGAAATTCTGATTCTTTCACAGAAAAAAAAAAAATAATAACTGCCCAACAATCCTGTGTAGAGTAGAGTTACTGAGGTTTCATACCAATCAACCAGGATCTTCCCGAAGCATCCAAGTTTTCAAGAGTTATCTGAGCCGGACATGTTGTTGGTTTTGTATCTGTTACGACCTCAGATGTAAAATCCAGGGGTGAGAGGAGCAACAATTAAAGAATAACCCGGGATAAAAGAGAGACAGAAAAACAGAATTATATGTACCAACAAAACTATTTTATTAAACATCTTAATCACAAATTAAAAGTTCCAACAAAAATCTACTTTGAAAATAACTCTATTATAACAAAAACATGAATTAAGTAAATAAACACTAATGTCCCCCTCCCTCCACTGAGAGAGTAATGGAATAAGACACGCACAAACGACGTACAGCACAACACTACTATTTTGCGGTTTGGCCCACTGGCCTCGTCTGCTTCTGTTGTCCTTGTTTTAAGGCCATTTGGACTGATTGATGAACTATTGCAGGTGCACCTGACCACAGAACAGGGCAGAGGCAAAACAAAACACCACACTATGCTTGTAACAGTATCTTTGGCATTTTGAGGAACAAGTTTTCTGGGTTGAACATGTGGGTTTGTCTTTGGCGTTTTGAGGAACGAGAACCATCTCCTTTATGTGAATTTGCCTTTCTCAGGTACTGCCTAGTATGTTATCCAACTGTTCAGCAATTTCATTTGGGTGCTCTTGAAATCTTCACAACAGAAACATGATTTTTTTTTGTACAAACAGTGTAGTCAACAATAAAGTGAGCAGCACTCTTATTATATTTGATATTATTGTGTCAGGGTTCTTTGACAGACCTTGAAAGACATCTGACAACTGCTTTGAATCAACGTCTTTGAGATGCTCATTTGAGGCTAAAGTATGGTAAATTCTGCTGCAGTGCTCTTATGCTAGCTGATAAAAGTGTTGCTTCAGGGTTTTCTAGGTCCTTGAACACATCATGTGCACAGACAGAAGTTAGGACCCTATCCACAAAGCAGCTTATAAAGTGTATAGATGCCTCAGAGGAGCAGAAATGACCTATACAATGACCACGTAAATCTTGTCAGTTCATAGGCCATCCAGCTCCATTACGGTGATTTTCCTCTTGCCGCCTGATAATAACTGAAACAGTTTAATTTCCCTGGTGAGGTTCATGCCTTCAGTATTCATTTGACAGAGTACTTTTACAGTTGCCATAGCCCCATCTCTGTGCTGAAGCTCTTTCAACATTTTTTGCAATGTAATGAGGCTATTAGACTAGAACCTTCACTATGAGAAGTTGTAAATGCAGCTTGGTGGAAGGGAAGCAGAGGATAACGAAGATGCCACAGCTTTTGCATATTCATGTCAAAGTAAAATATTTTTAGAATCCGTGCAGCTTTTATATCAGGCACATGGCTGAGGGTGGTGCATGGGAAAGGTTCTATTTTCATCTGTTTGCTTTGTCAGAGAGGGGGACAGAGCAAACCTGGGATCAGAAAATGCATGTGATGGGAAAGACTGCTGCCGTACTGTTTTTAAGACAATATATTATATTATTGGTGTGCTGATTCTATGCCCCAAAGCTTTGATCTTGTTGTAAACCACAAATACAACAAGTCTTTGAGCTCAAGCAACCTGATTGGTCAAAGATAACTGGGCTGTTAATTTCCACATCCGTTGCCATGGTAACTCTTGTGGTAATTTAGTTCTTTAGGCATGGGTACCATATCTTGATTTGGTTGTTGCCAAATGTACACTATATAATGGGTACTACACGTTTCTACAGGAAATGATTGCTGCTTTGATCAACATCTGCAGCAGCAGAGCATGCAGAAGCATCAGTGTACTATCTGTTGATTGACTTTTATTGCAACTTCCTCCCAGAGTTCCCATGATCATTTTATCCCCCAGGTGATATTGCACTTGGCTAACTGATACTGCTGTTCACGTATGCCTGCTGCAACATTCTAATATTCCATATGGCGCAGAGCATCTGGCAGTTGTTTGACAATATTTCTTTTTTTTACATCACTAGAATGAACGCAGGCGTTTGAACAGCTCTGTTCTGTCAACCAGATATCCCGAGGTCAACAAGCTGTTTGATGTTTATTTACAGAGTCTACAAAGCAGTTGTTCTCTCTCTGTGTTTCAGGCAAGGGTTCATCAAATCCTAATCCAATCACTGGCAATGGTCACGGTGTACTCTTTTTTTTTGTGTGTGTGTGTGTGTGTGTGTGTGTGTGTGTGTGTGTGTGTGTGTGTGTGTGTGTGTGTGTGTGTGTGTGTGTGTGTGTGTGTGTGTGTGTGTGTGTGTGTGTGTGTCTGTGTCTTTGTCTGTGTGTGTGTGCCACTTTAGCACTGCAAGCTTTATCAGAGGTCATTCCCACCAGACTCAATCGTTACACATTTAGTCTTCATCACTTTCATTATGATCACAAACTTGTTAATCACTCTCTTGTCACTTATTCTGAAGGGCTGTAATATATACAAAAGGTTCTAAATACCATGTAGACTTGTTAGTTGGGGACACAGAGTCATGTTCTATCTATTGTGACTATGTGCAAACATTCCTGGCTTATGCCTTGCTTACCATCTTTAAATATTAGGGAAGTAAAGGGTTAACCTAAGGCTGAGAAGTACCAACATGTGGTAGATTCTGTCTGGCTTCTTGGATATGCACACTGCTCATGTTTATATTTGACAGTCTGGCCAATGTCCATAGGTCGGTGGTGATGGTTTGCAGACTACAAAGATGGCAAAGAAGAGTAAGCGTAAGAACTTAAAAGGTATTGCTGTGGGTCTGGAGTTATTGGCAGTCGCCATGTGTCGAAGAAGCGCTATTTGTAGCCTTCGTCGGAGCTACTTAGGGACTTGTTGCGCCCGGCAGAGATTTTTATCCATGTTTATGTTGTGGTGCTTTTTAATTACCTGAACATAAATAAAAGGGATGCTAGTACAGTAAGAGTGCAACCTTACCTAGGTGGTTAAATAAACACTAATACTGTGGTCCATAGGTGTGGGACAGACACTTTGGCTCTGTACTTAAACTGGGAAAACTTGAAATCAACAACTATGAAATTATAGCACAGACTTACAGGTGTTTGAGTCTACGCACATATATACAAACAAAAATTTTAACCTGATGATGCAGTTAGATGGAAAGTCAAGCATCATCAGAGGTTTCATAAGGAGGACGGGAACATGAATCTTTATACCAGATTCCATGGCAGTCAAGAAAGTTTCAGTCAAATATGGTCAGGATCACCAAAGTTTTAAAGATTCATCCTCTGGGGATATCTGCTGGAAAACGGTCACATTGAAATATTATTAGACGCTATTGCATGGTTGTCACCCCTACCCATATAAACATGCATTGGGCTCAGCAGGCTTTTTTGTCTGGGTTGTTAAGCAAATGCCAATGCAATTCTCATGTAAAATAATACAGTACGAATCGTTTCACTGAGTTTATTTTGGAGTCACATTTCAGGTTTTGATGTGCTCGTGTTTCCAATTATAGACAAGCTGGGCAAACATGGAGCCTATATGCCTTTTATGACAGCTGTGTCAATGGACACCGTCTGAAGACTGACCTGCTGATTTGCTGCTATTAGTCTTTATGACAGTCTTTTACTGCTTCTCAGGTGATAGAGCAATCGATGCACTTGGTTTACTTGGTATAGTGTATTGTTTTTGGGTTGGATAGAGTGGGAGTGTGTGGTTGGGGCCTACAGACAAGAAAATGTCATTGTGTGTAAATGGGGCTTGTACTGGAAACCCATAACACACAGACACGTGAGTGAACATTTCCTGCCTTGGAAGCAGTCTCCATGGCGATACAGCTGGAAGACGGAGATAGGGGAATAGCTGGAAGATGGTGCATATCTTATGTTCTTTCCTCCACCTACACTCTTTATCTACACATATCTCCCTTAGGACTGGACTGCTGTAAGCTGTAATTGCCCCCCTGCTCTTTTCTCCTCTGTCTTTTTGCACCCTGTACTCATCTTGTCAGACAAGGTAGAAGGCTCTAAGGTTCCTTCCTGGAACCACAAGGCCATTATTCCTCCCCCGCCATGCTCATTAGTGGCAACATGCCCTCTACATTACAGAAACTGTTAATAGACTTGTCTCGCTACCTGCATTTATCCAACCTGGCTACAGTAGCTAGATCATCATTCGTTCTTAAACGATCGTTCGGTCAAGACCCCAAGCCTATTATGGTCCATTATGTCTGCTCAAACCTTTTATAGCTTCAATTATGTCATAAGTGAGAAAACATGGCTGTTTGATTTGAAGTAGTGTCATTTTTAAAAGGACATGCTTGTCAATTATTAATGGACGCTTTTGTGTTTTGTACACAATATAAACCAAGCTGTCTGTTCATGTCCTTATTTATTTATGTGCAGAAAATAGTCTATACCCAAGTGATACAGCCTGTCACACTAATTGTAAACAATTCTGCAAACTGTATGTATAATATTAAGAGGGAATATAATTTATTAAACCCTCCTGAGTGCTTGTTTCACGCATATATTGATCAATTCGGATTCTTGTCTCAGTAGAGCAATAAACCCTTACCTTAGATTAAACTCTGTATGTGTCATTTCTGCATATGCATCACAGCAACTGCACAGAATGTCTGTGTAGGAAAAGAAAGAGGGCTTTATTTATTTAATAATCTGCATTACAGCAAGTACCAGTGCTGCACTAGGATATAAGCTCATATGTATATGTGGTTGATTTTGTTGCATTGTGAGGGGGGACTGTATATAATGACTCATAGTAAATGGATGGTGTTGGAATTAGGGAGACTTAAACTGCTTTGTCGTCATTTTTACTGGAAAGCTTCAGAAAACACGATTTATTATAATGGTCTTTTGAAATCGCCACGATTTGCCATTGCAAAGAATAGCTGTACAATAACAGGATGCAAACTATAACTAGAAGTTAATACTTGTTGGATGCTGACCGACTTCTTTGGTGAGATATTTTCTGGTTTCTACTGAAGACGTTATTTTTTGGGAAATCTAAATAATTTCCTGAAACAGCTGGGGATGCTACTTTTTAGCAAATAATACTCAAACTGTAGTAAATGGGTTGGAGAATGCTTTCAGGTAAGCAGTAGTAGACATGTACTGAGGATGAACTCAAATAAACTGCAGTGCACATTTTCTTTCTTAAGGTAAACAAATGGCAGATGTTTTTTTTACACAGATCTATCTGGGATTTCATCATTGGAAACTGTTTGGAAAAGGGCAGGCACTTTCAAAAAACACTCGGCAGGTGATTGGATGGACCAACTGTCTATCACAGTCTATCACAAACAAACTTCAACCAATTAGATCAATGAACCACATAACTCATACCAAAGCCAGTTGGGAAAAGAGAAAAAAACATCCTTTCCATTGAGAAATCCCTTCAGTGCCATTCTTGCGTGAACTTGTGATTTTGCGAGTCCAGTTGCCTCGCAAGGTTAAAAAAACAGTGTGGCTGTGTGTTTTTAGTAGTTTTTCTAACAATGGAGTTCACAGCTAACTTAATTGTTGCTTTTTTTCAATGAATATCGCCAAAATATGCCCAGCCTCTCAGTCCTTTAGTATTCAATGGAAAGTACCTTTAACATATTATGTTGAAGGTAAAAAATGTTTCATTTTTGTATCAGTACTGAAACTCCAATATTGTCTTGGGACCTATAGTCTGAATGCAAACATGTATGAATGTGTCGTGACCTGTAGTTTTATTTACTGTAAGTGATGCAAATCCACTGCTTTGTGTCCCACCTGATTACATAGTACAGAGAAAAGATTGACATGGTTTGTTCAGATGTTTTTTGGTCATTTATGTGTGTATGTATGTTAGCTGGGGGTGCTGTATGCATGCCTACCTGTCAACATTATTACTGACATCATGTCACTGTTCCCCACAGGGTGCAGGTGGAGTTCTATGTGAATGAGAACACCTTCAAGGAGAGGCTGAAGCTTTTCTTCATCAAAAACCAAAGGTCAAGTAAGTACAGCCAACGGGGAGCATCACACCATTCTCCTCTGTTCCCATAATGCAAATTGTAACCGGGTTGCTGCCGATAGATATGTTCAGAGCTAAATGAGCATATAAAACCGTAAAGTAGGAAATTGCAGTCAGTGATGACGCATATCCAATTTCTATCTCAGTTGGGGTCTCATTATTACATTAGCTGCCTCATTGTAAAACATATTTGTGAGCAAGGATGGACGACTGTGGCTCATTTGCTGAGAAATGAGGTCGGGCTGCAGTATTTTTCTCAAAAGGAGATAAGATTGCCAATGCCACAACATCCCTAAAAGAGACATTGGTGCTGCTTAATGGATACACTGTGTATAGAAGCCATTCATTTGTAGCTAGTTGTTAAAAAAAAAAAAAAGTATACTATGGGAACTCTGTATCTCTGGTTGAACATGTTATTGACACATCCTCGGCACTGACACAGCTCTGCTGTCTTTCCCTCAACTTGTCATTGTCACTAAGCCACCACAGTCTTTGACATAAGACAACAGAGTCTAATGAAAATGTCACACTTGACTGCAGGGGCCTCTTGCTCTATCCAATTGCAGCACTGTTTGTGTGTCCAGTTTCAAATCATTTTAACATTGACGCTGGCTTCATGTGAAGAGGTTGTGTCACAAGAGATTAGGTAGCTACAAACTAAGGCTGATTGGAAATGTGAAATACATCTGGCACCACCCTCTGGCTAGCAAGCATGCCTGCAGCCAAGTTCCTGTTTTGCACATTTGATGGTGCGGGTCGTTAATGTGCTTATCGGCATATGCCTGCACTTATTCAAACAGCAAACTGTGATTCCACAAATATTATTATGCCCTATGGCTACTCCTGTGCAGTCCCACCAGTCGTGTATCTTGCAGTGTAGTCCTCCGTCATATTAGGAGCCCATAAAAGTGCTGGTGCTATTTTGTGTTATTCTTGGAGGATTTGAAAGTAATGCGTCAGAGGAAATAAGTTGTGACAGGGAGCCAGAGCAGCATGGAACTGCATCAGTCACGCTTCAGGGCTTCGACAGATAAAGTCACTTTAGGCCTTTTGTGAAAGACATTTTATAATGCACCTGAACCGCTGGTGCCCAAGCAGTTTCAACTTTCTAATAAGGAGCTTGGTATACAGACGTGGTCACAACACTGGAACATAAGAAAGGGTAGATAAGTGTGAAAAAGTGTGATAATAATCAGAAAGGGTGCAGAGCTTTTAAAGTAAAGCGTTTGACCAAGTTTCCAGAGACCTAAACAAACAAACAAAATTTCAGGGGATTATCACCAGTGAAGCCAGCCAACTAATTTTGAGTCAATTAGTCAAATGATATGAGTTTGTTGGTCCGCAGGCCTGAGAATCCGCCTGTTCAACTTCTCACTGAAGATCCTCACCTGTGCCCTCTACATACTGAGAGTCAGCCTGGATAACCCCCAGGTGGTCAACGGCAACTCATGGTGAGTCACACTCAGCAGTTGCCACCCCACTCATCAATTATTCTATTCCAGATAATTGCTTTTTATTACATGATTTATTGCAGTCTTTTGTTTAGTATTTTGGCAACATCTTTGATGTTAAGTAATGCCAATGTGACTTCTTTTGTTTCAGAAAAAGATGTTATTGTCTTTTTTTGTAGATGCAGCTTTTTGCTGTCTTCTGATCAATTTTAATGCCATCTATCATTTTCTCCTTCTACTGATTCCAAACAGACCAGATGATTTGCTTTAGGCCAGAGGATTGTTCCAGGAATATTTTCCCGTTGCCATGTGCAAAGAACAACAAATATGAAAGATATCATAAGAGGAGAGAGCAATAATTAAAAGGAAACTGATGATTTTTGATTTCTTTTGAGTGTGTCTAAGGGTTTTTTCTAATTGAGAATTACTCCTTAAACTAGACTTAAAATGTACACCCAATATTTAAGTCAAGACATTTTGTGCTTTTGATAACATTAAGATTGTCTGAGGATGAGGTTTTCTTTTATTTATTTTGAGGTAATTAAGTGTTTTTATTCATTTTGTGTGTGTTTTTTTTGTGTGTGTCTAAAATACATACATAAGTGCTTACTGCCAGCAGCTTTTAGAGGCACGTCAGGTTTGTTCTCTATGGCAAAATACCAGCTGATGGAAATGTTTCTCAGTGGGTATGTTTCCACTCATGCACACACATTGGCACACACCTTCATGCTCTTTTTGTGTTTCCTGTGTTACTGTTTTTCTCCACAGTGCAACATGTCGGAACAACAGTGGGACAAATACAACAGAGTCAGCAGAAATCAACTGGTATGTTTCAATCAAAATGGCACTTAATTGCGAACTGAGTCATGTTCAAATTTTCCGTGTTGCAATTATATGGTGATGCAGTAAAGGAAAACTTTCTCATGTTTCTTGACAGGGAGTTGATTTTCTGGGTTAACAGACCAGTTCCTTTATGGGCGATACAGGTGAGAGTAATAACATTGCAGTGAAAAGTGCACATAAATCAAATTCCACTGCGTGAACTGAATCTCAATGCACGAGTCAACCCAAACACACTAGCATCCATTTATTAGATAAAAGCATTTCGGAGAACAGTACTTCCTCAGTGAAGGTTGAGCAGCCAGAAGAGATGAGTTTGCAGTTACCAGGTTAATTTATCTCCCTCTCTCCCTCCGCTCCAGGTGACAGTGGCCTTAATCAGTTTTTTGGAGACCATGCTTATCACATATCTCAGCTACAAGGTAAGAGACTGGTCCACAGTGCACAGTTTCTCTATTTAATCCATGCTGATGTCTAACAGCTGTCTGATCAAAGTCCAGCACTGCACATTTGTTCTCTCTTGTGGGCCAACAGCTTTCAGTGTCTAGTCCAAGTGGCAGTGCCAAAGCACCTATCAAAGGAAACGGGGGCCTTTGACACTAATTTTAGACTCAGACATCACACACTGTGCCCCAGAAATAAGTTGCATATACAGGTTGCATGGCTGTCTGATTTTGTTTCTTCTATAAGAGCTGTCTAAAGTTCTTAGCTCATATGCACTTAAAGGGAGGATTATGTAAGTAGTGAGTGAAGATACCAGCTTTATGTATTCTATGAAAATTACTCAAGTAGAGAGGTTCAGCCTTTGTTTGAGCTTCCTGCACTGCTAATGAGAAAGGATAAGCAGAGGGATTTTATATATACAGTATGTAAAAGAGATGGGCAACATATTAAAAAACCTTACAATGTAATGCATTCCAGGTGTTTCTGTTTTCTGAATACTTACTCTATTTAAACATTAAAGAAAAGCCCAGTTTTATATGAAATATAATAAGGCAGTAATATGCAGAAGACACCTGTCGTATTTACACCACCCACAGCTTTTAAAGATCAATGCTGAAACTTGCAGGGGTCCAGGGTCCTTGAAGTACTACTAGTCTCAAAAGAAGCTTGTTTGGAATTATTAGTTTTAGGTTTAATAATTCCTGTCCCTTAGACATTTCACTTTCCTGTAGCGATCCTCTAAAGTTTGTTTTTTGTTGATCCTTTTATGTCTTGCCATATCTTTTTTTTTTCTTTTCTTTTCTTTGAATGTTGTTTAGGGACTACAACATTTATTGAGAGGAGGAGCAAATGCCCACATTTTATTACATTCTGTTTCTGATGACTCTAATCTCGTAAAATGTTTCTCTGTTTTCTTTATTAAGCTTTTTAATAGTTCCATCATAGATAGAATCCACCAACAAACTGTACCTTGTAAACTCTGCTGCACTCTATGTGTGAATAATAGTCTACTCTGTGATTGTGCAATTAGCTGCAAACATACTTTTACTGCATGTTTATACTGTATTATCTGGCCTTGAGGAGATACAGTCTAATACAGTAGCTTAGTTTTCCTTCATTCAAGGCCTTGTTGAATACATAATTCACCATGTTATATTGCAATTAAACTTCAACTTAATTTACAAAACACATTTCTTGTGCAGGAGCAAATAATGCAGTTTACAGTAGTTTACAAAGTTCAGGATGACGTAATATCTGGAAGATTATAGTTGTGATGAAGAGAGGTTGTGAGAAAGGGTTAGGGTTATAATAGTTATAATTCTTTGTCCGTATATAAAGTGTTACACAGTAACTAAGCATCATTAACAGGCTCCATAAACAAGGACATGCTGTGAATGCCTTAAGAACAAAAACAGGTCAATGTTCTGTTTCTTGATTCAACATAAATGACTGCACCACTCCATTCCAGCTTTGATAACCTCAGATCAATACCAAACAATTCTATACCAAAGAAAGACGCATTTTTAATTTTATTTAATTCATTCATTCATTTAAGTGTAACAAGGTCTTGCAACTCACAATACACAAAACTGCTGTTATGTTGCCTCTTATTCAGTAATGTTTTCTTGTTACAGCTGATATCCTTCAGTGCACATTATTACTAGAATTACACTTCTCTGTAAAAGCATCCATACTCTCACTGGTTTATTCAATAATTTCCTTTGTAGGGGAACATTTGGGAGCAGATATTCCAGATATCCTTTATATTGGAGATGATCAACACAGTGCCATTTATAATCACAGTGAGTAATTGACTTAATCAACTGATCAGTTTTTTTTTCTCTGTATTGAGGATAATGATTTCATGCCTCAGGTATGTGAACTGTTTAGTATTTGACTGATATGTTTCACCCTTTCTCTCTTCCGTCTTTCTTTCCTTTCTTAAGATCTTCTGGGATCCATTGAGAAACATATTTGTCCCTGTATTTCTTAACTGCTGGCTAGCCAAAGGTGCCCTGGAGAACATGATTGTAAGTATTTTTAATGATGTATTTATTGTACTGCACTAGCTGTATTGCATAAAAGAGTGCACACAAACAAACAAACGTGTGTTCACATGTTTGGTTGCTTTTTTTTACCACCGAGGGCTGTGAAGGTACATTATCCATCCTGTGGCAGCCATATTGGAGGTCCTCAGTTCATGAGTAACACTGGCAATGAGGCCAGACTGGCTTTATACAATTTAGTCTGAACAGAATTCAATTGAGCCAACCTATTTACTTATTTCTGATTAACTGATGCTGTGTTTTTGCAAATACATCTGATTTGTGCACTAGCTAATGTATCTTTGTGAAGCTATTGTTATTAGCTACATTAGTTTGTTGAACAGCACTAACGCTGGTTACTTTGATAAAGAAGCCTGCTGGCTAATTTGTTGAATGTCAAAGCTAACAGCAAGCACTTGACTTTTGCTTGGAGAAAAGATAGGAGGGGCTACATTTTTTGTATTTTAATTGCCTAAGAATTAAATTAATCCAACTCTGGCAAGACTCAGACTTGTATAGATGGTTACAGAGAAAAATAGCTATTACTTGCACTCATTCTGATGTCATTATTGCACTAGCTGCTGCTGGTTAACGATGAAGTGAAATTGATAAATTACATTTATTTGGGAAATGCAGCAAGGCAAGAGCAGACAAAACCAAACAGGACGAAAGCACAGCAGTGCAAAATATAAAGGATAAAAACGCTGCAGGACAGCATTCTGGTGTTGTAGTATCAATATTGTCCAGGATTTGCCATAGGTGCAAAATGAGTGGAACATGGAATTGAAAGCAATTAGAAGATATCCAGCTGGTATAGTGTTTGTGCTCGAGCTGTGATTCAGAGAAGACCATGACAGAGTCAGAGCCTCATGCCAAGGCGGTAGTTGGGCAGATGGTAGAATCTGAGGCCAGGCAGACCAGCACATGGAGAGAAATCAGTGACAGTTCGGAGAGGCGGTGAAGAGAGTCGGTGGCAGGCAGAACATGCTAACAAGGTGCTACTGAAAATGAGTCGTGAGCTCCTACATTTCAAGACTGCATGCTAATGTAGGAGAAAGTACTGTACAATATTATACTAAACTTTTCCACTAAAGAGGAGAGGACAGTGGAATTGGACATAGGGTTGATTTGTATCAAGACCATCCTTGTTTTCTCTACAAATATATGTACTAAGAAATAATCTATACAGGTAAAGACAACCAACAAAGTCAATACATATAAATACAGTAACTGACTTTTTCCTATTGTTTCACAAAGACAGTTTTTTATTGAGAACTACAAATGTTGTATTTAGTAATTCAGACTGGAAAGTGTATTTCAGTTTGAATTCAGTGGGAAGGACGTGGCAATAGAAACACAGTAGGCAAATAGATCCATCGCATGCCTGTCTCTAATAATCTCTTTCCCTGTGTTCAGAATGACTTCCATCGAGCCATCCAGAGGACCCACTCTGCCATGTTCAACCAGGTGTTCATCCTCATCTGCACCTTACTGTGTCTGGTTTTCACCGGGTGAGAGAACCTCTGTTCTTGTCAGACATGCATGTCTGGCCATTAAGGCTGTCATGCCTCTTTACTGAGCCTCGTTGCAAAATCTGTTTCTTGAACTGTGTACCTCACAACCCAGAAAAAAACACAGTTGGTAATGTGCATGTCTTGGACAAGGCGGATTATTTGGAATTAAGTTATTAAAACATTTCTTGTAAGTGGACGCAGTGAGCTGTGGGGCCAAAGGTGCACAAAGGTGTGCAAGTTAAATTTTGGCTGAAAGAGAGAGAAGCAACAAAATGTAAGAGTAGGAGTGAGCTAATATTATGAAGCCAGTTAGCTGCTAAAGCAGGGAACATTAACATGCAAAAGCACTTGGTGGATATCAGATCACATGCACCTGCTAAAATGCAGGTAATATGTGAAAACATGTTAAAATAACCATTCTTATTCACCCATTTCCTCTTGTCTCATTAATTTCCTCTTTTATAACACCAGTGCATTTTAATCAAAGCTGTCACTTTTTAAACACAAACTCTTTGGAAGCCTTTGTGTGCCTTGGCCACGACCCAGCACCAACCTCTTTCACTCCACTCTGTCCAGTCAGACATTTCTTCATTCCCTTCTGCCTCGGAGCTTCATTAAATCTCCAACTTACCAATAAAAAACTCAAATGAATTAGCACAAGCAGTGAGGTGAAACAGACAGAACAATCAATAGTGTCACTTTTAATGATATACTGAGCAGGACCCTAAGCTGTATTGACTCTAAGGCCCTTTGATCTTTGGCAAATTGTATTTGATATCCAGTCCCACCAGGCTCACATAACGCATAATACTGAAGCATCACCCTAGCAAATTATCTCTTCACATGTTCACATTTTAATTATCTTTACCCGTAGGAGAAGTGTGATGTAACACCATCAAGTCAACGTAGAATTCTTTTTGCAGAGCTTGTGGGATCCAGCATCTAGAGAGAGCCGGGAAGCACCTGTCTCTGTTCGACTCGTTCTATTTCTGCATCGTCACCTTCTCCACTGTGGGCTATGGCGACGTTACGCCACAAATCTGGCCCTCCAAGCTGCTGGTAGTCATTCTCATCTGTGTCGCCCTGGTAGTGCTTCCATTGCAGGTAATGACTACAGAGTAAACAAGTGTGTTTTTTGTGCAATGAGGCATTGCACACTTTAGTAAACCTTGTACAAGCTCTTGCCTTATTATTGAGAATTCTTTCATGTGCTGCATCTAGTGCTGGCCTCCATGGTGTTATCATTAAATATTAAATTACATTTTCTTGCAGCTATTGCAGGCCCGACAGCAAGTACAAATTTAATATGGTGCTCAGTTCCCTGACATACTTAGCTGCAGAAGAAGCTTGCAAATCTCACTCAAAATTCAGGCCAAGTCATGCTGGCTCACAATTGCTGCATGATAAATCCACCTATTCACAAACATGTTTATCACTACAATTGTTCTGATGTGTTACTGTCCTTGCAGAGCAAATTGGGTGAGAAATAGACGAACTCCTGCTGCTTGCAAACTAGTGTATCAGCAGTTTTCACTCCAGTACTTTCACCGTCTGTATTCAGAGAGAAAATCTATCTCTCTTCCATTATTTATGTCATTCTTGTTGCATTTGACATCAACGCCGATGTTGTTATCATTGTCAGTTTGAAGAACTAGCCTACCTGTGGATGGAGAGCCAGAAGTTAGGAGGAAACTACAGTCGTCACCGGGCGCAGACAGAGAAGCATGTGGTGTTGTGTGTCAGCTCACTGAAGATTGACCTGCTGATGGATTTCCTCAACGAGTTCTACGCTCATCCCAGACTACAGGTACCAAAGCAAAACACAAAACGTTTTTGATGTTCATCACAAAGTCAAGTATGTAGTTAGTATAAATACCCCACTATTAACTACATGCTTTGAATGTCTGCTGTCATTTTTACTGCTTTTTTCCAGCTGGATGACAATAAGTATACATGTGTTTCAGCGTTCACATTTTCTTCCAATTTATAACATTTAAGAGAGTATTTTGTGTAGTATTCCTGTGGAATAAATGTAGAATATGCAGTATAGATGCATGAAGGGGATTTTTTAAAGCTAATTTTATACATACAAGTAACATACTTAACCCACGTGTTATGTAAGACTTGTAGAATGATTTGGATAAAAGCATTCATATCCCTTGTTGTTTTACAGGACTACTATGTGGTGATCCTGTGTCCAACTGAAATAGACATTCAGGTTCGCCGTATCCTCCAAATCCCGCTGTGGTCGCAGAGGGTCATCTACCTTCAAGGATCTGCCCTCAAAGACCAGGACCTGATGAGGGCCAAGTGAGTGAAAGCATGGCATGCATTCGTTGGTTGATGTAGCCTGATTCTAGACCTCTGCATTGCTGCCCACATTTGTGAATTTTAATGAAGGAAATGAAACTAAATAGCAATTAAATCTGATTATCAGGCTTGTGCTAATGTCTGAGTGTTAATATTTGAGTCTCAGTGTAGCACATCATTTATATTTTATTCATTTTACAAAGTGGATAAGGATCTAGACATTATTTGAAATGTAACTGTAAAGTTGAAGTCCTCCACTGGCAAATCAGAGTCCTTGAAGTGCGGTTAGAGGATGAGATACTTACAAGTCCCCTTGGCTGCCCTCCGCTTGCACATCAGTGTAATGCGATTTCACTCTATAGTACATTGATCATCTACTCACATCAAAGGCCACATACATAGGCAGCAGTATAAACTGTGATGTATCCCATTGGAATGTGTTAATTTTGTCTCTGTTCCTACAAAATATATCCGCTCTGGTGTGTTCATTCATGGTCTTACTGCCTTCAGGGGATCTTGCTTCTTTTTAATGCTTGTCGTGTTATGATGAAATGGAAATGGAGTCTAACTACTTCTCAGTAGCACATGATGTATGAAATCAAAGTCATACATTTGTTCAGGAGCCCATTCCCTTTTTTTCCAAGTGCTCCTCTTTAGTGTACGAAGTGGTGCAGGTAGATGCTGTGACAATTTCACACACTAATATGTAATGGATAAAATCACCCAGCCAGGTAAGCCTTTTGCCTCTCTCTTTCAGCCCTGCTATGCTGAACGATTTTCTTTCATATTGTAGCTGTCTTCAAGTTCACAGAGTTTTCTGTCACAAGTGAACGATCTCTGCCCCTGATGTGACACCAGCACTGCGCTCTAATGTCAAACAACAGCAGATTATTTTCATGCTAGAATGCAGCTTTTAACATTTTCAGCCATTGTCACGGGACATTAGCACTCGTCCATGCCAACCTTTTTTTTAAAGCATTGATCTCCTTTAAATAATTTTACGTTTGGTTGAATGTCCTATTTGCAGTCATCACCCTGTGAACCTACTTTTCTGTGTTTCTTTCCTTCTCCTCAGGATGGACGACGCTGAGGCCTGCTTCATCCTCAGCAGCCGGAACGAGGTCGACCGAACCGCTGCTGTGAGTCACATCAGAGGGCATTTGACGAAGCATTGTAAAAATTCTGTTTCATTTCCAGTATAAACACTTAACAATAAGAATAATTTTAGTGGGGCAATTCCCCCTTCACAGTCTACTTCCTTTATAAATTAGAAGGGAGAGTCTGAGGTATTTAAATGATATCATGATTCAGTTGGAACTGCCTGTATTGAGAGCACTTTGAGTCGCTGAGGCCAACTTTATGGTCCATAAAATTCAGATTGCATTTACAAATGAGTAAAATAGAACAATTTCTCCCCCACAGGATCACCAGACTATTTTGAGGGCTTGGGCTGCGAAAGACTTTGCTCCAAATTGCCCTCTCTACGTCCAGATTCTCAAACCAGAAAATAAATTCCATGTTAAGTTTGCAGGTAAATGTGGGAAGACTACCCATCTACAGTTAGTTCGTCTTTGTTTTCTTACACATATACTTCTACGTCTAACATCCTGTGTTATTGCAATCTATCCATTTCAATCAGATCACGTAGTATGTGAAGAGGAGTTTAAATATGCCATGTTGGCGCTGAACTGTGTTTGTCCAGCCACGTCTACCTTAGTCACACTCCTGGTTCACACCTCCAGAGGACAGTGAGTACAGTCTACTATTTCATTATAATTAATATTAGCATTTATGGATTTACAGTGATTTCCACTGTCAGTATGTCCTTGTATCATTGTGTGTGATTTTGTCATTATGGTCCTGCACCTTTCTCACCAAAGTCATTGAAATGTATCAATTAGAGAAGCACATTTCCCAAAATGTCAAACTCTTCTTTTAAGGTTTTTCAGGCTGCTAATCAGTTACCAGTCAAACCCAACTGGAATTTACAGTGTTCTTAAAATGTCAGCTAAGCTATGTAGTGATCTAGTATATCTTCGGTCGGTCTAATACATATTTAAACAGTAGCAAGAGAACTTGACATCATCCTTCTCTTTTAACTTTCTCCTTCTCCATCTCAGTGATTATTATCTAAAATCGATGTCGCTGTCTGGTTCAGTTGAGATTTAACTGAACCAGAGACATTATTTGTGTTTCCAGAACAGCTCAACCTCCAAGAACTGTTTTTATTAAGTCAGCTTTCAGTCTTTCTAACTTTGAGTGCTCTGCTAATGTTAAATATCCCTTTTTCTCATTATTCATGTGGACAGATTCAATCCCATCTGATTAATATTAGAGTAAGATGACTGATTCTCCTGCCGCAGAGTTTTTACAGTTACACAGACTGTACCTGTTTTTTGTCTGCAGAGCCTGACTACTGTACTACTGCAGAAACTTGTCACTGTCAAGTCAGTAAACATTACCCAGCTTCTTGTTAGGCAATAAATCTCGCTGTGTTTCATACTTTGTGCAAGGTGACCACCATATATATCTTAACTGCTGTCCACAGCCGAGACACAGCACATCCATTTTAATATCCATTATGGGAACTTGTACTGGCCTGGGGCTGTGAAGGTGAAAGGAATGGGAATAGATTTCTTTGTGGAAGGTGTTAATTTAAACATCATCACATTGATTAAAAGTGATGAGAAGTACATGAACTGCTTAAATAAAGTGACCTCATAGCCTTTTCTCGTTTGTTTATAATCTTGTGACCAGAATTTAGATAGCTGCAGAATATAGGGTCGTGAAAGGTCATGAAAGGGTCAGACAGATTTATCAGCCTGGGGGAAAATGGGGGCCGTTCAGTTGCAAATAAAGTCAAATTATATTTCAAATTGTATTCTTCTATGAATTGAAATGACTCATGGCAACCTAGATATACTCTGACCCTAACCTTTTCATTCAACCAAACATTGCAAACTGATATTTGCCAGCAGTCCAGCAGTCCATTGTGGATCTGAAATGTCAATACTGGAATTTAAAGTGTATATTCTGACAATGCTGTTTCAGAGAGGGTCAGTTGTCACCAGAGCAGTGGCAGAGGACATATGGACGCTGCTCTGGAAACGAGGTCTACCACATCCGCTTGTGTGACAGCAAGTTTTTTGGGGAGTATGACGGAAAGAGTTTCACCTATGCCTCCTTCCACGCCCATAAGAAGTTAGTACACCTTCAACTAGCTCAATCTTGACACACTATGTTTTATCTCACTAGAGTAATTGTTAATGTCTCTTGGAGTTAAACATTTGCAGCTGAGACCCATTTTGAACTTTGCAGGTATGGTGTGTGTTTGATCGGAGTGAAGAAGGAGGACAACAAGAGCATCCTCCTGAACCCCGGCCCCCGCCACATCATGGCCGCCCCTGACACCTGCTACTACATCAACATCACCAAGGAGGAGAACTCGGCCTTTATCTTCAAACAGGAAGAGAAGCACAACAAGGGCCTGCCCGTCACTGGCCTTTACGACGCCCCCTCCAGGTTGCCCGTGCACAGCATCATCGCCAGCATGGGTGAGACTTGAGAGCCAGAGGCAGAAAAAAAAGATTGTTTGGAAGTTGGTAAAGAAAGAATGAGTGTAAAGATTCAAGTCCAGACAGCCTCACAAAGGTTGTTTGGCTGAAAGCGTTTCCATGTAAGAAGAGAAAATGGATGCTTTGATATTTATTTACTCTAAAAATTGCTCTCACACTGATCATTTCTGAATGGTGGCTGCCTTGGTGACGCTGGATGCTTTCGCTGACTGTTACGCATGTTTTTTTTCTTACATGCCTTTTTTCTTTCTTGGCTGACATCATTGTGTTGTGCTTTTTCTTTGACCTGTGAAAGTTGATCAGGCCACTGCATATGGTAAGTTTGTGCATGATACACTTATTTACTAGTCCTGTAATTTCAGTACAATTTTTACAAATGATAGTATGATATATATTGTACAACACACAGTGATATTGTATTATAAAACTAATGCTTGTATAATTCTATTGTGATTTAAAAAAAAATTAGAATTTCTGTTTCAGCAACTTCAGATTAATTTTGCTTAAAAGATGATATATGTATTGTACATACAGTATATCATGTTTCTGATACGTCTGATATATGTATAGTGCATATATCACATACATCATATTACATACGGCTAATATGATGTATGTTAGGGACATATTTATTGACAAACACACAGTGTCAATACTGTTTGCATGTTTGTTGTAGCTTGAGAAAGCCATACATTTTCTCCCCAAGGTCAAACTAAGCTGAACTAAAGAAGGTGGTAGGACTGTTGGTGGCTCAGATGCTGAACAAGCTAAACATGGACCTTATTACTGTATGTCCAGTATGAAAAAGTGTTCTCCAGTGTTTCCTGAGATAATGGCATTTTTGTTCAAACATGCATTGTTGACTTGACAACACATTACAGTAAAAGTGCTGCGCATGCTATTTCTAAATAGCACATAGTTTGCTGTTCAAACAGTAAACTCATGTAATTTCCAGGTACTGTAGCGATAGATCTCCAGAACCCTGATCCTCCCGAAGAAAGCAGCAAACTGACCTTGCCGACAGAGAACGGCGCGGGCAGCCGCAGGCCAAGCATCGCACCTGTCCTTGAGATTGCCGACTCCTCCGCCATTCTGCCCTGCGACCTCCTCAGCGACCAATCAGAGGATGAGACCAACCAATCGGATGAGGAGGGCTCTGTAGGATCTGAGTAAGTGGCTCAGTTGTGGTTAAAACATGAGAAAAAAGGGCCTTAATTCACCCGAATAGTAGTGTGCAGTATGTCTTGTCTTGCGGCAGTAAAAAAGTGAAATGTCCTCACATTGTGGGCGTCCAGTGCGCTATACTTGATTGATCTCACTTGTCCTCCTCTGCTTCATGTGTCAGTGGTTGTAGGAGGAGATGGATGGGTTTGGAATAGGCGTGTAATCTGTATGTCATAATGCAGTAAGACGCGGACATGGCAGTGATAGATGTGTATGTCATGACAGGAAGGTCAGCACTTTTCCTCTTGAGTGAAGCTCATGTCATGTGTCCTTACCTCGATCCTCTCCCCTCAAGACCATCTATCAGTTGTCCAGACAGATAGATGCCATGACAGCAGCTCAGCACATCAGAGGAATCAGTTTATCTCAGCATTTTGTTCTTCTCCTTTCTCTGTCTGTATGTGGTTTCATTAGAGATAGAGGTATCTCAGCACCACACAAGTCTTTTTTGAACATCAACTGTGAGACCCAGACATCAGTGGTTCTCATAAAGATGGCCATAACATAGGTCCTCCTAACCTCTGAGCCTCTATTACTGCGCCCCATGACACTTGGGTAGTTTTTCTTCTTTAACAGTTGTCGTGGCACAGTAGTCAGGGAGATGGAGTCTGCAGGAAACACACAGAGTAGCTCAAGGTCCCACAGTGCCATCATGTGGTGATCAGGTTGTAAATCTTAACAAAATCAGAATCTTTTTTAGGGGCAAACTAGAGGGCACCAAGAAACGGATTAGGGTAATTGCAGCTGACACATTACAAATCAGGGGGCACAGAACCAAATTGACAAAATGAAAACAGGCTATGAAAACGTTGTAATTATTCATGTAGCTGGTATTGAACAGGAATGAGTCTTTCAGGCTAATAAACGTCAGTAATTTGAGCAGCTGCAGAATATAATAATGCATTGAAAAGTAGAAACATTTTGGCAGTCATTCATGGTGATGATAACAACATGATGATAACATAATAATGAGAATAAATGACTCCCGTAGACCGTGATACTCCCATAACTCTTTGTGAGGTGAAAACATTTATACAGTTGTGTATCAGTACATTTTTCACACTATTTGCGGGTTCCTTCAGAGAAAATATGAAAAGAAAACATGTTTAACAGTTTAATACTTTTTAAGTAACTGAAGAGGAAGTAAATCTCCCTGTTCAGAGATGGACATCATTACTGGTAGATATCTGATAATTAATAAAAAAAAACAATGTTTGCATAATATGTCCCTCAAGGTTTTTACTCCAAACAATGGCAGTGTAATGGCATTTTTTCTTCAGAGACATTTCTTGTTTCTTTTCCATCAGTTTTGTGAAGGGCTATCCTCCAAACTCACCGTACATTGGCAGCTCTCCAACTCTGTGCCATCTCCTACCACAGAAAGCTCCATTCTGCTGCCTTCGCCTCGACAAGGTGAGTTCACATGCAGGAAAAGACTGAAACAGCACAGAACTAAACCACAAAAAACACTTAAACGTACACCATGTTTGTTTTTTTTTTTGCTGTCTTTTTTATATTAAGATAAAAAAAACAACTGTTATGTGATGCATCTCCTAAGTACACAGTACAACTACAACCTGACTGACTTCCTGTCTCCATCCAGGGCTGCACACATAGCAGCTTTGAGGATGCCAAGGCATACGGCTTCAAGAATAAGCTGATTATAGTGTCCGCAGAGACAGCGGGAAATGGTCTGTACAACTTCATTGTCCCTCTCCGTGCTTACTATCGACCCAGGAAGGAGCTCAACCCCATAGTGCTGCTGCTGGACAACCCGTAAGATTTCCTACCATCCTTTTCAACCCACTGTTTGTTTATTTTTACTACTACAGTGATGTTAAACTACTTCGAAACCTAAAAAATAAAAGAGTAATGTCTTTATATTTTATATAGAGGCATTTAGTACATGTCTGCCTACACCCATAATTATGTTCATACAATATTACACTGTGAAGATGTGATAGTATGATAAATCACTACCTGGTTACCATAGGCGTTGGCATAGCAACTAATAAATCTTTTATCTGGACTTCCTTTGTTGCTGTGGATGTCAACACTGCTGTACATTAATGTTGGTAAAGGTTTAGTAGTTTTTAACAGTTATCTGTTAGTTATTTATTCAAATAATTTCAATAGTTTGCCAAAGATGAAAATCACCTGGTACTTTAATAACAGCACATTTTCAGAGAGCAGTAACTTAATTATAGTATATGTGGTGACCTCAAGGTATAGAAGAAGAATAGTTTTACATTGTTAATAAAAAGCAGTTTTCCATGCAGAAAATCAAATTCAAGTTCAGAAGATGTAAAGAAATACATGTTTACCCGTTTGTGTGTATATTTGCATTCATTTGTGGGTGCATGTGAGCTTGAAATAGATTTTTAAAAATGCACCAGAGTTTTATATGTTCGCAATTTGAAATAGCCAAATTGCTTTCAGTATAGATTTGATAATGACTGCTGGAGCTGTGGGTTAGTTTTGCTTCAATATAAAGAGAAAAAATTGCTTTTGCATTATTCATAAACAACACTTTTAGGCAAGAAGAAAGCCTATTTGTGTGTGTGTGTGTGTGTGTGTGTGTGTGTGTGTGTGTGTGTGTGTGTGTGTGTGTGTGTGTGTGTTGCAGTGATCCACAAATTTTTCTGCTCTAACTCACTAGGGGTTTCATTAACTTCGGCCAGATCTCTGCAGTTGCTGAAACAGACACTACGCAGGCAGACAGCCAAAAAAAAAAAAAAAAACACTCACTGGCTAACCACTGGGGGGTTTCCATAGCAACCAGTTAATTCCTCCCATTGCATTGAGGAATTAAATATCTATTTCCCTCTGGTTGCTGAGTTCAAACTGTGTCTCCCCAGCCCCAACAAGCACATTTCAGGAAGTTACAATAACAATGTCATAATCTGTCACTGGGGTTTTACAAAGATAATTAGTCTGGGATGCTCATGCATGATTTTCCTTGTTTCCCGCAGGCCAGACAACCACTTCTTAGAGGCCATTTGCTGCTTTCCAATGGTTTACTTCATGGCTGGCACTATTGATAAGTATGCCTTTGGATTATTAAAAACCTGCTCATTCGATTTACTTATTTAATGATCTTGTTTATCTCAGTGGTAGTTTTATCAATTTTTAATACAGCTACCAACAATACAACAACACATGTATCATGAATAAAACACAATGTAATCCTTTGTGGGTGATGGCAATTTCAGGCTCCGATAAAGGAAACATTTACCATAAAACACCATTAAACAATACATTATAGACTTTATTGTGGTCAGTCTCAATACTGTCAAGAATATATAAGGCTTCTTTCTCGACCAAGGTTTGCAGTTATGTTCAAAAATCATACAGCATGAAAGCCACTGCCAACCACAGAGACACTAATTTCCACAGATTGTTTTGATTGAATGTAATGAGTGCACACCTGGATTAGGTTGCACCAGCTGTTCTAAAATCCATCACTGAATGTGTGACCTTCCTAAGGCGCACCTTCAAATCTTAAGAGAGCTTAATTATTGAAAACGTAATGTGCTGTGTAATTCGGTTGCAAGGAAACATTGGTTATGCTGTCCCATCAAAAGTAATTGGCTATGTAAACAGGAAGTTGCTGTAACATACTGTATATAACTGTCAAAGAATAAGGGGGGAAATTATGTATTGTCAATTTTCTGCAAATGTTGGTATGATGTTTTTAGAGTTAATAGTGTTAATGTAATCTAAATGAATGGAAATTCAGAGCAGCTTTAGGAAATGTTGGAAAGTATATAAAGTACGAATGATCCGGTTTTGTGGGACGTATGTACACTTGAATAATTGATGGAATGCATTGGAAATTACAGATTGATGTACGATTGTTTTGATATTTCCCGACATGTCATGTAATAGTAAGTAATAAACTCTGTTGTTTTGTGAATGGACCAGCCTGGACAACCTGCTACAGTGTGGCATAATCTACGCCGACAACTTGGTGGTTGTGGACAAGGAGAGCACCATGAGCGCTGAGGAGGACTACATGGCAGACGCCAAGACCATCGTCAATGTCCAGACTATGTTCAGGTGACACATAGAGAGTATTTCATTGTGTAGAAACATGCAGTATATTGTTGCCACTGTCAGGGGTTGTTTATGTATGAGCTGGACTTGGATCAAAAGTGCCCCAGACTCCATTTGATTAACTTCTGCATCTGTTCTTAGTCAGATGCTGGAGAGTAAATTTGTTTTTTTAAGTTTTCCAGAATGGTGGATGAGTTCATCTCAAAGATGAACTCCAGTTGCCAAAGCTCTGACTACCACCATTCTTTTATATAACAACCAAAATTAAAAGCATTTATCACTGCCACACTGAGTCGCGCAAAGCATTTCATCTCTCTAACATCGGTCTCTGTTATCCCCCGCCCCCGCTCAGGTTGTTCCCCAGCCTCAGCATCATCACAGAGCTCACACACCCGTCCAACATGAGGTTCATGCAGTTCAGAGCCAAGGACTGCTACTCACTCGCACTCTCCAAACTGGAAAAGGTGAGCTGTTGAGAAGGGAGAACCATGTAGAGACTCCCTGACTTTGACTTTGATGTTGTCTTCTTTTCTGTCTTAAGTGCCTGAACTCTGTGAGCCTTCCATGATTTACGAAGACAGATCATAGCTCGATTATTGAACGCAATCTGCAATATTTTGATGTTTAAAATGAAGCTAATCTTTGTGCAAAACATCCAAATACTTTTGATTTGTCTTCGTCAGTTGCTCTTGTGGTCTGTGGGTGGGGATGGAGGGAATACTGGTGTATTCTTCCTCCAACACCTGAGTCTCATTGCAATGTTGATCATTATGTTTTACATATTTAGTGTTCAACCTACTAGCTTTAACCTTTCAAATTGAAAGTCTTTTCAGTGGTGAAAACCAATAGGGAATAGAGAGCAATAGTTCAGCAAACATACAGGAGAAAGTGAGGTTTTAATATCTTGTTGCTCTATTCTTCAGATCTTTTTTTTTGTGATTCCCTCTGCAGATAGAGCGTGATAAGGGCTCCAACTTGGCCTTCATGTTCCGGCTGCCTTTTGCTGCAGGCAGGGTGTTCAGTATCAGCATGTTGGATACACTGCTTTACCAGGTGGGGTAGCAAACAATAGACATGTCAAGATTAATACAGCTATACATCATACATCAAGTGATAATTTCATCAATCTACTTCAAAGAAAGTTATGGAATAAACTGAAAAGTTATTCGATTGCAACTAAGTCAGTATTTTCTAGTAATGTTCAGTATCTTTAAATTGTATTGAAAGTTTCATGTCAGTAAAAGCAGTTGTTTCACCTAAAAGTGAATCATAGATGAAAGAACATTAACACTCACTGCAACATTAGAAGTTTCTACAGACCCATTAACTGGTGAAAGAGAAAAATCTTCAAAATAGGTACGCATTAAAAAGAAATTGGGGTTGTCACAAAGTAATTCCTAACTTACAATGAACAATGCAGATTTATGTAATAAAGCAGTGTGGGAACATCTGATTGTTTTTTAAATAATTAATTAAGATTGATTTGCCCAATATGTAGGAAAGTGCATTTATATAACTGTCTAACCCTAATTTTAAAGTTGTAGTTTAAAATGTGCACATCTCAGTATATATGTTCATTTTACAACCTGTTTATCCATCACCGTATACAGATATCTACTTATGTCTATCACCTGTCTGCCACAGCACTACATTATATTTTATTTTATATTATCTTTCATTCCTATATTTTAGCTCTGTGATTCAAATTAGATTTTAGTTACATAACTGTTTTATACATATTTGTATTGTTTTGACAGTCGTTTGTTAAGGACTATATGATCGCTATTGCGAGGCTTCTTCTTGGTCTGGACACCACGCCTGGCTCTGGATACCTGTGTGCTGTAAGTATGAATGTTCATACCACTAAGAATGATGATGATGAGTGATTTGTCAGTTTCAGTACCTGACTGTCAGTCTCCCTCCTCAGATGAAGATCACAGAGGAGGACTTGTGGATCAGGACTTACGGCAGACTCTTCCAGAAGCTTTGTTCCTCCAGCGCTGAGATCCCCATAGGGATCTACCGCACGGAGTCGCACATGTTCTCAACATCAGAGGCAAGTTCACTTTGATCAGATACCTAATATCTGAGACCTCTCTTTGGGTTCGTTTCCAGCTTTGGCTTCTGGTTTGGCTTCTGGTTTGGCTTCAACTGAGGCACTACTGCGGCTTTCACTTCCTTCCATTATTCATTCCCCTTTTTTGTGTTTTTGTCATTCCTCCTCTTTCCTCACTTACCTTCTTCAAATTTCCATGATGTCCCTCCTTGCTTTGCTTTTTCTTCTGCTTTCATTTATCTCCTCCTAAAATGTCTTTCCTTTGTCCATCTTTCATCTTCCCATTTTTCTCAATTTTTCTTCATTCTCTCGTCCTCCTTTCATTTTTTAATCCTATTAACTATATCAAGGTCAAATTTATTTATATAGCACATTTAAAACAACCACAGTTGACCAATGTGCCAAATAGGATTAAAATACCAAAAAAAAAGCAAATAACAAGCTGCTTCCAATGCAGAGCACTCTATCTTTCTTGTTCTTTTAATTATTTTTTTGCTCCTTTATACATTTCTCTCCTATTTGTTTCATGCCAAGCAGGAAAAGGAGAATATTAACCATCTTCCCCTGAGTGTGTTTCCGGTTTGTGATGATTCCCAACAAAAAGTCCCCAATTACCTTTACTATTTTATTAGCCAGGCTGATTATTAAAATAGAATTCAGGCAAGTTATGTAAGATAAACGTACGATTGCTAGCTCGTGCTAATTTCCCTGCAATTAAACAGTGAATGATAAAATAGTAAATATGCCATATTTACTATTTCATGTGCTGACTTTTGAGGCTTTGGATGATTTTTGGTTTGCTTTGGATGCCCCCATCTTTCATTGCATCTCTTTTTGTTTGGATGTCTGTTTGTCCTTCTCTTGTTTCAGTGCAAGGACAGTTACGCACAGGTAAGATCCAAATGTGCAAGTTTTTAATTTGGATATTTCACGCGGCTGCCGCCTTTTTGCTGAAAAATAAGATGAAAAGTCATTTATCAATATGTATCAATACATTCATAACCATCACAGCTTGGTGATGTAGCTTTTCTGGAAATAGCATTTAGTAAGGCATTATAGATTTGCTTTCATTTTCACAGACAGGTATTTCTGAAAGATATTGAACAAAAATAGTGTACAAACACACACACACACACACATACACACACACAGTATCCAGCGTTAACACTGCCACCCTGCTCTCCCAGTCTCAGGTGTCCATCAACGTCGAGCAGGGCATGGAGCATCGCGAGCGCGGAGAGTCCTGGAAGGAGAAGACGGCCCACAGAAACTCCACAACGAGTGACCAATCAGAGCACCCGCTGCTGAGGAAGAAGAGCATGCAGTGGGCACGGCGGCTGAGCAGGAAGGCCAACAAACCGTCTAGCAGAGCGGAGCGTATCTCGCAGCAGAGACTCAACCTGTACCGGCGGTCTGAGCGTCAGGAGTTGTCTGAGCTGGTCAAGAATCGCATGAAGCACCTGGGTCTGCCCACCGTGGGATATGGTGAGTGACACAGCTGATGATATATAGAGAAGTGAGAGACAGTCCATGTATTTGCTTTGTTATGTTAAGTGCAGTAGTTTTCAATATATTACTTATTGTATATCAAGACAAGACCAGATTAACAATGATTTAATTTAGGATGTTTCATGTAGTTTATAATTATTTAATCATAATTAGTCTTAATTTACCTGAAAATAATAATAATGCAAATTATAATGTTTGTTGCAGATTGGATTCTCACTTCTATAAACATTTCTTTAAGGTCACAACAGCTCTGAAGGCAGAAATAATGTAATTGGTTGAGTTAAACTTCAGTGGGTGGAGCCGGGAATCTCCAAGAAAAACTAAAATAAAAATCGTGGTGGCTTTTTTTAATTCATGATCACAGTCTTCCTTAACTGGTCAGCGTTACCTGTGTGGCTGTGGGCTTGTATATCTAGCTAGAATCTAGCTCAGCTCAGATAAAACTAACATAAAACTTGAATTAAAATCACGTTCCCAGTCAGACGCAGGTCCCATTTATTAGCCTGGCGCGGCTACATGTTTTGACAAATAAACTCAGTTCAGTGATTGAAGCAAATAAAAGCCCAGGCTATTAATTGCAGTTTTACGGATAACATAACTAATCTACAGTTATTAAGTTAATTTAAGTTATTCTGGCTTGATTTGAATTTTCTCTTTGAGTCCTCTTAGTTGAAGCCAGAAGTAAAAGCTGAATGGAATCGTAGAGTTGAAACTATTTGTTGGTTAATCAATTTGTTAATAGAACATTTCTGAGAAACCATTTGAATAATCAGTTCATCATTGAAGTATGAAAAGCCAAACAAATAACTGCTTTACAAATATGAATACTTGCTTGTTTTATGTTTTTGTCTTTTGTAAACAGATATTTAAATGTGTCAGCTTAGGCTTTTTCTGATATTTTATAGACCAAACCATTTATTAATGAAGATAATAATAATAATAATAATAATAATAATAAACTGTAACTGAAGCTGTTGACAAAATGAAATCACAGAAGTAAGAATGCATTAAAATCGAGAATAGAAAAAAGCATGAAGTTCAGGTGATTCTTTTTCTCCACCCACTCTCAACCAATGAAATTATTTCCGCCATGATAAAAGCTGCCTTTAAAAAAACTGTGTTCCAGTCATTTTATCTCATCTCATTACCTATTAAGACGTGGCGCTGTGGGTCCTAATAGTGCCGACCATTAACATCACACCACATCATCATTAACCTTCAGAAAACCTCAGTTATCACCCATCAAACTCTTCCTCCATGTACCACACGCACACGCTCCACTACATAGTCATGATCATACCAACATGTGGATGTGAACACCTCATGCATGAAGATGGAGGAGCACCAAACCTCAATTGCCTGCATATCTGCTCACTTCTCTACTTTTTGTTACTTAGTTCTTTCTCTCCTCCCAGCTTCACGCTTCAAAACAAAAGCAGAATCATGCTCCAGATGTGTTGCACTTGCTAAATATTATGTAACGTGTCGATTGAATACGTTTCAGGAAGAACCCCAAAAGCTCAAGATCTTCTTAAGAACCATGAAAGTCAGTGAGGATTACTGCAGCAGGATCATAACATGTGACAGATGAAATATTTGGAAGTGATTCTGTGCACACACTAATGCATGGCTTCTTTGCATTGCTCTCACCTTTTTTTTAAAAAAAAAGTTATTTTTGAAACTGCAAATGCATTCGCTGCCTGCCTGATTTTTTTCTTTTTTCTTGTTCCCCCCCCTCCCCTCTCCTCCTCTGGTCCTCTCCTCTTCTTTCTCTCTCTGACTCTTCTGTCTTCCTTCCTTTTGGCTTGTAGAGGATGTTTCTAATCTCACTGCGAGCGATGTCATGAATCGAGTAAATCTAGGATATTTGCAAGGTAAATTGTGTGCCGTTTATAACTCATCTACAAATGTGAGTGGTTACGTTCCATCTTGTAGAGAAAGGAATTTGTCCTTTCACCAGCATCCATTGAAGATTAGTGCACTGAATTTATCCACAGAGATAAATACATCCATTTTTAGTTTTTTTTTTCTCCACTCTTTGTTTGATCCTTTTTTTTTTTTTTTGGTTAATATAAAATTTGTAGTTAATTATAAATGAACAAATTAGGCCATTAACAGTGAATGCCGTTCCTTAGAGTTGCAGGACATTTCAGAGCATCCGTATACAGAGGGGACCAGGCCGTCAGGTTAGCTGGTTGATCACAGTACTGCAACTTTACTGCATGAATGTGTGTGTGTGTGTGTGTGTGTGTGTGTGTGTGTGTGTGTGTGTGTGTAAGTGTGCGCGTGTGTGTATCCTGCCAGAATGAGTGGTAGATCAGCAGCCAATCTCTCACTATCTCGCTCTACTATCTCACTCTATCTATCCGGTCTTTTTCTGCATTGTGTTCCCGTGAGGTGACGTCCCAAATGGCTAGAGTACTGCAGGGCATCAGAGTATGGCTTTGAGAGTGGAGCGGAACGCATTATGTCTGTGGATGGAAGGTTAGATGTAGAATTAAAATGTTACACCTTTTTTAGATCTATAAAGAATATTTTGTATCAGAGTTGGTGTAAAAAAAAAAACACAACAAAAAAAACAACCCAGTGGAGGAAATGTGTTCGCCTCCGCTTTGTCTGTTCTTTCCAAATATCAGGACACCTCAAAGTGTTTTTTGATACTTATACCATGGCCACTTAACCACAGGCAAAAAGAGAAGCAGTGTTTAAACTGTCATTCTGATTTAAAGGGGTGTCCGTAAATTAATAAGACGACATTGACGCCATTGTTACGTTTAATTTCAAATCCAGTATGCTGGAGTAAAGAGCTGAAGTGCTGACTTTCAGATTGAAAATTAAAGATTGAAGATTTTGCTGACCTCCAGTGGTTTGACTTACTTAGCTGCTATGATAGAACAGTGCACTCTAGGACAGGAATCCCCCACCAGGAGCACTTATACAAGGGCTATGTATTGGCAAGAATCTGGCAACGGACAACTGTCATAGTATAAAGAAAACGCTACAAGCCCTCAAAAGAATCAATAGTCTAGACCATATTTCTTGCTTGTTTGGGGTTTTTTTTAGCCTTCAGTCTGATCTTCAGCAAGTGATGCAGTGATGCAAGTCTGGAAAAGACAACTGACCTCCATCCAACTGTGTAATTAGGATCAACAGTCCGTAAAAAGCACCCTCAAACACTCAAAGTTGACTCAAAGTTGCTGTTGCATTGTCGTGGACTACAAAGCCACAACAATAAAAAACACCACTGACACAATACTGCTGGTGTCACTGCACTGTAAATATGAGGTTTCTTCTTTTTCCGACTGCTAATCAGAAATTAGTTTCTATGACTTTTCTGTGGCCATGGTATAATCCATATTTCATATTTCTACAACAGTTTGAATTAGAGGGGGAAACAAATTGGTACGGTCCTTAACATCACTCATATAAGTCCTACATCTTTTCTCTCCACTTACAAGGGACTTCTTTTACTATTATAGAGTAAATCTAACTTCCAGCAGCAGCATCAGGTTGACCTCTTCCACTCTCACACTCCCAATGCGTTCTGCTTCACTCTATGTTTGGTTTGAGTCGCTCTGCGTTTGGTCCAGTCTGACGGATGCTGGAGCATGTCCCCGTGTGTCTGTGGGGTGTGTCACACGTCACTCTTGGTGGGTTGTGTGTGTGTGTGTGTGTGTGTGTGTGTGGGAGGGGGGGCTGAGTGTTGTACGTTGGCATGGCAACCTGCCGCCTTACCAAGCCTGCTGGTCCGGTGTGGAATGCGCAGGAGAAAAAAAAAAAGGAATGCGATGGAGATCGATTTGCTGCGTAGCCGCGGACGCTGTCTGCATGCTGGCTCCGTTCTGAAGCTGCGCATGGGGGGTCGCTGTTTCAGTCAGCAGGCAGCATGGGCCTCCCCTTGTTCCACAAAGTGCCCTGTCAGTAACAGTTAGCCCTTCTCTCTCTTCCACCCCGCCTGGCTTTATAAAGGGCCACAAGCAGGTGGGTTATCATGGAGACACATGTGCCCTCCTTTCCCTTCCTCTGTCCATCACGCAAGTAGGAGCCACCACCAGAGAGCACTCAACACACACACACAAACACACACACACACACACACACACACACATATACACACACACATACATACATACAGATGTAAATAACACACACACACTCACTCACTCACTCACTCACTCACTCACTCACTCACAGTGATATGACTATGACTCTAATAATATAAATCAAATATAAGACCTCCATATTGCAAAACTGTTTCCATGGTTATCTTAATTGTATTGTGGACGCAGCAAAAGAGTATTGTTACAACTGTTAATGTTTACTGTTTATATAATAACTTTTTATGTGGAAATTATTTACAGCTAAATGTGTATAGAAGGCCAAAATAGTCACATTAAGTAAATTAATTATGTATTTTGTATTAAATAATAATAAAAAATAAATCAATTTGGTGTATATGTCTGATTATAAGTAAGACATTTCAGTACAGAAATGCCAAACTAGGTTGGAGGTAATGTAGAAACTGTTGCCATCACATAGTCTGTCCAGCAGAGAGCGCTGGCTGTACAAGGTCCTGCTTAGTATGTATCTTGGTAACAATTTATAAAAAGAAAGAAAATATATATATATTACAGTGATCTGTGTCAGGGTTTGTTGTTCATGTTTAAAAAATCTGATAACACATCAGCAGATAGTAGTGTTTGTTTTTTAACTAACAAATATTGATGTCAATATTGGGCTGTAGTCAAATTATGTACATTCAGCTGTTTACTTGCCACTAAAACTGTATTGGCAGCTTGATTTATAAATTCCTCTACTAATATAGGTTAATGTAATTTTTAAGAATGTTAAATTGTTGTTAACAGTTGTAACAAGCAGTGGTAAAAGAGCGTCCCCACAACTATTTGTCTCAGATTTTCCCACCGCTTGCTCTGATACTGTACGTGGGTTACTTTGCCTTTGTCCTCACTGAAAGGTTGAAAACGAGGGAGGCTCATATTTTCAGTGGTTAGAGGGCTCATTTCGTGGCTGATGTACTGTATAATGGGGGAGGACGAGGGAGGGCTCCAGAGCAGCTCTGAAGGTCTCTTCTGTCTCTTTTTCCAGACGAGATGAACGACCACCAGAACACACTGTCCTACGTCCTCATCAATCCTCCTCCTGACACCATGCTGGAGCTCAACGACATTGTGTAAGGATCAGAGGATACATCCCGCTTTTTCTTTTCCTCTTACGTCCAGGATACTTTGGTAACAGCAGGTGCATGGTGCCATAGGTGTCAGTGTGTAGCCTGATAATGAGAACATTTAACCATTTTGTTTCACTTCATTTTGCACTATTTTATTACATTTTTGGAAGCAGAGTGTACAAAACAAAGGCACATTTTTTACAGTTCAATCGTTATTTATAGACCAAAATCCAGAATATTGTTTATGAGCACTATTAATTTCTCTCTACATATATATCTGAAACTTATATATATATATCTGATGGTATTATAGATCCTTCTATAAGGAAATATATTTGATTAACTAGGGATGCACGATATGGCTTTAATTTTTTTTTTACAGATATAGATAACCGATAATTTTGCATATTTGAATTTGAGAAATAAGTTCATAACCTGTAGTTAATACAGCAAAGATGGATGATTTATTATCCAATAGCTCTGTTCTAACCACATCTAACTGACATCACATTTGTTAACATAACAAAAAACAACAACAGTTCTGACCTTTCAAATGTTCATTTATTCATTTTTTTTGTAAAGTTAATAAAAAAAACTTCACAAACGTACTTTGGTTTTCATTGAACATAGTCTATCAATCATTTTGCATAAGAATTTCAAATGAATGATTAATGATAACAACCAATAAATTATCGGTCGATAAGTATCTATCTCGATAATTATCGTGCATCCCTGTTATTTTGCAGTAAAATAATAGCGTAACTACAGATGTGAAGATGAAATGAAAAATGTAAAGTGTTCAATTCCATCCATTTTTGTCTTGACCATGAGGAGTTATTCAACGCAACTATCACACTTGGTTGCCTTCAGTAATACAGAAGAAGAGCACAGTAGCCAAAATGTTCCAAATCAGGGCTGTAAACGGACAAATATTCCTGAATTATTGATACACAGTGACGCTAGGAAATGAAGTATTCTGACGCCACGATGCATATCGCAAGTAAGATGACTGAAATCTCGTAGTTTCGTGTGTGTGTGTGTGTGTGTGTGTGTGTGTGTGTGTGTGTGTGTGTGTGTGTGTGTGTGTGTGTGTGTGAGTGTGAGTATGTGTGTGAGTGAGATCAGGCTGGAACTAACACCCAAAATCACATTGTCGTCACACGTTAAAACTGAGAGCAACTAATTATCCTGTGATTTCGGGGGAGAACACTTCTTTTTCCTTTTTGTTGTATTTTTATGCAATATCGTAGTACTACTGTCCTTATTACTGCCCTTCACAGCCTGCTGCTTTCTCTATTCAAAGTACTATTTGAACACTACTCACACTAACTGTAACTACTACACTATAGTACTGTTAAAGAAGTGACTTGGTGAGTAGTTGCTACTAGCAATTACAGTAACGTTGATTTTGTGTTTGCAGATACATTATCCGGTCCGATCCGCTGGCACACATGCCAGAGGACTCGCAGGGGGGTCAGGCCCGCCCCACCACCAAGAACCAGCAGGAGTTTGGCACAGAGACGAGGGACGAGACTCACCTCTGAACCCCCCCTCGACACCCTGACCCTTAACGTCTAAGCCCCACCTGGGCCGACAGAGCTCGTTTGTCTCACAAAGATGAAGGCTTGTCTCGGGCCAAGAACAGCAGTCCATAGTGAATGTGCATTATGTGTCTCTCAGCGTCCGACCAGAATTAGTCAACATTTAAACAGACAGCCCTGAGAGAGAGCTGCTGATCCCCATTGAGCTGCTACAGGAGGACGCATGAAGAGTGCCTCGTCATCGACTCCGACTCCGACTCCTCTCACGCGTCTACTGTACCCTAACACACCTCAACCCTCAAAACCTTCTGAAACCAAGAACCCGGCACTGGAAACGGCTCCCTCCCTCCAACCAAAGGACTGAGAGATTTGATCAATGTGAGAGGTCAGCGACGGCCAGGAGAGGGGTTTTTTCGTGCACATACTGTACAGGATATCACATCACCATTTCACTCAGGAGTGAAGTTGCCCTCGTGCCACGACTCAGACCGACTTCCTCTATGCCTGTTTCTACCTAAACCCACGAAAAAAAAAAGAATCTTGGGGCAACTACACCATCCTTCGCTACGAATCTCAAGCAATCAAAGCATTTACCACGAAATTCCAGTACATGTGCACTTTTCTTAATTTATTACAAATGTTGTCTCTTTCTAATCAGACAGGAGTTTAAGTTTCTTTATGAGCACAAACTTTTTTACGACATCTGTGAATATGCACACCGTAGTGGCACTTTTATCAGCCGTATTAGAATAATCCGCATTTCTCTCTCAATTATGTTGTGTCGAAAACTGATTTTCGTTGTGTTTATATTTAAAGGTTGAATATTTTTTATTTATTTCTCCATTTTAAGTGTACCAAATAATGTCTGCTACAATGTGTGCCATTCTTTTGTTTACTCTCTTGCTTTGTAAATACCTTTGAAAATTATTTGTGCATCATGTGCCATTTTGCATCTATTTTATGATATCAGTGTTATTTTTATTTTATTATGTTATTTTAGAGCCTGACAGGGACATTGGCTGGGCCAACATTATCATTAGCTCATCAAAGATGTGTCAGCCAATATGTAACAAGACATTTTCGTTCGCTCACTAAAAAAAAGAGTGTCAGTAAATGAAGACTACATTAATCATCGTCAAAGTATCAAAAATGAATTTAGTTTAAGTAATGTCTTATAATTCAGTATAGTTTACAGTATTTCTCAAGTGTTATAACATTTTTATGGAAACAGGAGCAAACGGCTAGTAATTAACATCGTTTGCTTAATCCATACAAAAACCTGTAAATCACAGAATGACGTGTTTGTATCAGTGGATTAAATAAACTATAAAGTGTTGCTTAGTGACCGTCAGAGGGGCTCCTCGCTGCGGCTTCATTTGACAGAAATGAGAGCGGTATCGATCATCTCATCTAACTTTTAGGAAGTAGAAGTGTTTATTCCAAATTGTCAAACTATTACTTTGAGGTATCCTTATCAGGAATATTGTTTTCACTCAAATATCCGTATTGGCCCCAAAAGTCAGGCTCTAGTAACTTTAATTCCTTTGAAGCTGATGGTAAATATTTATTGTGACGCTCCACTTTCATAACTCTTTTAGGAGTTGCAGTATTACTGGTTACAGAACCGTTTTGCACAGGCTGCCACCGTACAGTCAATTTCTAAATCAATTTGGAACGTACTTGAGCTGAAGACGAAGTGCTCTCCTCTTTAAATTGTACCGGCCACACCTTGTGTATAAGGCAGAGTCAGAGTGCAGTATTATTTCCTCTTGGTTTATCATTCCTCAGCAGCGTGTTCAGTTCAATCACTGTAAATAGTAACTTCTCTTTGTTCTTTTGTTTCGGTCTCTTCTGTGTGAAGAAAGAGGACTTGAACTATTTTTGCACTAAGCTCTGCGAGGATGACGAGAGCATAACAGCATGACCCTTTAATCTGAATCTGTACAACGCGGTGGACAGAATTCAGCTATTCTTGTGAAGCAAATACAGTCAAATGTGCAGTAACATGTCATGCATTTTGTCGTTTTGATTTATTCAGGTGTCTGAAAAGCTTATTTTGGTGAGTGCCATTCTTGTTAAAGAAATATGAAGTGATAGTAACGATGATGTAATCTCAGATGGATTGTTTCCTGTTTGAGATCTTTTGTTTTTTTGTTATAAAGAATCAGCATAAGCTTTTTTTTTTTTGCACAGATTCCCATTTGAAATGTACTGTTGATCTTTGCTCAGCGGGCCCCTCAGAGGTGTCAGTTTACAGGGCAGGAGAGCCGAGGAGGGAAAGTGTGAGCGACCACAATGAGGGTACGATCGGTGTTCAGATCCATTCATTTAACATCGTCCTCACTTTCTGACCAATCACACTCCGAGGAGTTCACTTCAAACCTCCTACTGTCCATACTTACAATAACACAAGGGGCATGTAAACACTAAACAGCATGTTTTGATATACAAGCTTGCCAAGAATGATAATTTTGTACATTTAGCAGGACATTTTAGTGACACTTAGTCCCGTGGCTAGAGAACCCATAATCAAGTCAACTGCTTGCAAGTTGGAGCCATTATTTGATACTGTGTATTTATATGAATGGAACATGCATGTTGTCTAGGTGTTATCAACAGCCTACGTATTCTGTTTACCTCCACTTTATGTTTTTAAGGCATTGTCTCAAAAGGGTTGATCCATTTTGTACTATTTCTTATGAGATGCGAGTGTACTTCTCGACATAAAAAATATGAACAAATAAATGCTGCATGCAGCCAGATAAAACGACTTGGAAGACCTTTTTTTATTTGATCTCAGATCTTCAAATGATGACTTGATGAATATGGCGACAATCACGTATAGATAAATATGTAATTGAACTATTTAATCACAGTTTTCATTTCATTAGAGTGGCATTATTATATCATAGTGAAGTATCTCACAATTACAGTGTTATTACGTTTAAAAAATCATTTTCTTGAGGATATAGTTTCAGGAAATACTTATTTACTTTCTTGCTGAGAGACGGGAAACATAGATACCAGTCTTATCTGTATGCTGTATATGTGTGAACAGACGTGTAGCATAAAGAGCCAGCCTGGCACTACAGTATGTTACCATGGAATAAAAACAAGTTGAACCATCTTAAAATTCAACAATGGAATGAATTAATGTGTTTGGAGCTTGACCAAAACTAGAGAAGAGGTCAGGATATCTCGACAGGTTTTGACCATCTTTTTGTCATCTGTCTTTTGTGAGTCTCCCAACTTAATGGAAGTGTCATGGACAAAAAAGTGAATAAGTGTATTTCCCAAAATGTCAAACAGTTCCTTTTAGTGTTGACTTTATCTTACACAAACACCTTTAACTGCAGCAGCAGCAGGTCAAACACATCAGACAGAATGAAACTACAGTGTTGTTAGTGCCTCTTTAAACTCTCCGTCCTAACGGCGCTGCTTGTTGATGTGTATCTGCCTCCACCTGTCTCTGGTCCAGCGGCCGTTGTTCTGTGAGACTTCATGCAGCAGGTCCATGAAGGCGTACTCGTTGCCAGACAGCAGTGTTTCGTCATCAGGCGAGGCCCCACCGGAAGGAGCCTTTGAGACGGCGCTTCTGTCCTCTGCCCTCTGTCTGATGGTCACAGCTCGCTGTGGTTCGTTCTTCTGCTCCGCCTTGCTGCTGCTCTTGTTGGAGTTCTTTTCTGTGGGTTTCAGGTCTTGGTTCCGACCAGGTTTTTCCTGATGCTGATTGTGGGTTTCACCGATTGTCTGTCTCGCAGTGGCGGGGTCCTGGATCAGCTCTTCTGCGTGGGCTCGAGCCTCACTGAAAGAAGTGATCTTTGCATTTGGTTCTGAGGACTGAGAGTGTTTCATGTGAGCTACATTCCTTTTTAGGGGATCATCTATTGAATTTTTCTCTCTGTCCTCGTCCTGTTTGTCACGGTCAGAACCAGATGGTTGCTCCACTTTCTTTACCTCACTTGCAAACTTTGGTTTCCAAACAGTAAAGACATCAGACCCCTCATACTCTTTCTCCTCCTCCTTCATCATTTTACATCTTGCCAGCCATTGAACTGCAGTCGGAGGCCAGCTGGAGATCCTCCCCATAACTTTTACTGTCTGTGACCTTTGACCTGGGCCGTCAGTGGACTGTTTGTTTAAATCATCAGGATTATTCTGGTTTGTACCAATGCTCAGATAAGGTACAGTGTCAGTGTTGGCAGAAACACCGTGGGGCTCTTCATGTAGATTTCTACCAGAAGCAGCCTGTTTAACATTTACATCGGTGGTGTTTGTTAGATTTTCTGTCCCAAAAGCTCCTTCCTCTTCACTTTCATTCCCCAGTTTCTGCTTTCCTTCAGCTTGGTCTTTTGATTGAGCCTCCGTCTCACTTTGTAAAGTCACTGGAGGTGCACAAACAGGAGACGTAAAGAGAATGGCGTTAGCTGACTTAGCTCTGACTCCAGTAAAGGATCTCCTCCATCCCATCTCTGAGTCCCAGTCATCGTCTTCTCTTTTCTCAGAGTGTCCTGAACACTGATCATGATTCAACCTGCTGCCGTCTCCTTTCACCTCCTCTCTGTTTTCTTTTGGACATCCAGGCTTCACAATCTTGTTGCTGCGTTTCCTCCTGTGCAGCACCACCAGCAAACACACCACGAACAGGAGGAAAGACAGGATCACTGCAGACAGAAAGTTGTCAGAGAGAATTATCTTTAAGTATCTTTTTTCTTCAGTACAATCAAACAGAAAGCTGCAAAAGAGAAACTGAACGTACCTATCACAACGACGAGAGTGCACACAAGAGTGTCTGACGATGGTTGAGACGTCACACTGGTTTCTGGAATGAACAACAGACATGTAAAGCACAAGTTATATAAGGTTTAAATATGAAAGGATGAGAAGAACCAGGCATACCATTCAGTCCAGTAGGTGCAGAGATAGTTATGGACAGGTCGGAGGGTGTGGGATGGAAAGAGATCTCTGTTACTGACGGAGGTGATGTCACATAAGTTTCTGAAGGAAGGAAAGCTGCTGAGGCTCAGCATCAACATACATTCAGTTAGTGAGAGCTTTGAACATGGATGAATTGTATAACATTTCACAGAGTTAGACCACTGGGCTATTGTTAATTATGTTGTGGCGCCATCTGCAGGTGAAATACAATCAAACTTTTAGGGGGTGACTGTGTGTACCAGTCATCTATATTATTTATTTATATATATATATATATATATATATATATATATATATATAGTGTTAAGGAGTTATGGTAGCTTATCTCAGAAATGCTGGGCCTGCAAAAACATGGCCACCAGTCATAGGAAAACAGTCTGGCATAAAAATAAAGGTGTAATTTCTATTAAAAAAAGAAGAAATTGAACCAAATATTGTGAGAACAAGGACTGCTTAGCTTTACAAGGTAAAAAAAAGTTTGATGAGAAAGAAAGTCATAGTATTAAGAGAAGAAAGCTGCAATTTTATGGGAAAAGTAATATGACAAGAAAATAACATTAAATATTGTTTATGAAATAAGAATATTAAAAATGACATTTTACTACTGTACAGTTTAAATTTTGTACCAACTTCGGTGAAGACTGGATGGAATTTAGGAGAGTTCAAAATAAATATAATAGAGAGTACAAATAAATAGTGTTTTGCATAAAATTCTAAATGGTGGACAACTGTGGAGAATGTTGAGTAAGAAATGGGCAGACACTGTACGAACAGATTTGTCTTCAATAAATGGATAATAATCATAAATGAATCCAAAATAAACACAATTTGCTCTCTGAATATAACAGCTGAGCTCTATAAATGTTGGGTACTTTTTGTAATGTCATGCAGTATATTGTAGGAACACACGATTCATTAAAAATACATGTATGTAATAAATTATCAGTATTCTAGTATTAAATCACAGAAAATACAAAATGGAGATTTCAAGAATACAGTTGAAATAGTTTGAGAAGAAAGAAGATTTCATGAATTTTACTATTATATTGTAATGAACAGTTGAGATTTGTACGTCAAATGGGGACATGGGTGACCTGAATAAGCTCTTCATTATCAGAAGTTTAATGATATTAAAATGTGTGAGAACGCAACTGGACATGTTATGAAGCAGCAGGGAATCCTCTAGATAACCAAAGGAGTGCAGAGGTCAACATACAAGTTTTTTTATCTCTTAATTTGTCCCTAATAATCGATAAATAAATCAAAATATAAACAAAACTGAGACAAGCAACACCCAGTGTACCAGTTTCTGAAGTAGGTGTAGTGACGGTTGTGAGGCTATCGGTGGGTTTGGGTTGGACTGAGGTTTCTGTCTCTGATGTTGGTCCTGCAGGAGGTGTTGCTAGAGAAAAAGATGAATGTACTAAACACAGACTGAATATAACTAACGGTGAAGAACATCAGACATGTAGAAGTCAAACCACATGTACCCATGTGTGAAGAGTTTACAAAAGGTGCTGCAGTGGGTTTGGGTTGGATGGAGGATTCTGCCTCTGAAGTCAGTCCTGATGGAGGTGTTGTTGTTGCAACTTTTGCGAGAAGGAACAACAGATATTAAACACAAATTACACACAAGGAGTGGAAGATATCCTGATGGTAATGGTGAAGAAACTGAAAATAGGAGAACCAGATGTACCATGTCTCGGTGGAGGAGACGTCACACACACCGACACGTTCCACACAGGTCGACCCCTCAGAGATGGAGGACTCTCACAGGTCACCTCCGTCTGTCTGTCTAGCAGAGATCTGCTCTGTAGATCTGAGAAGAGAAAAGGCATTAAAGTTTCTAAAAGTTCTTCAAATTAAAATAAGAATTGTTGAATTCATTCCATTTTTATGTTTGGAAACGCAGGGTAAAACAAGTTAGTTGTAATCTGCAACTACACCACTAGATGCCACTAAATCCCACATACACACTGGTCCTTTAAGAACTGTTTCACTCCAATGCAAAGTATGAGAGATATATGCAGGAAGGTTCTATGTTGGTTTTGTTGTTACAACATGATCAATACAAATGTTTACCAAAAACACATTTAAACTTTATAAAAGTAACGTCAAGTTCAATAATCCAATCAATTCAAGACCTGTCAAAATCAAATTTAAGACATTATAAATTCTAAACCTCAGATTACTGGGTTTTAGACTGTTTAAAAGTCCTGTATTTTCTTATATTCCACAAACCTTTTACAGAGTCAATAAAGTCTTCAGCTCCACAGGAACAGTCCCAGGGGTTCCCATGTAGTCTGATCCTGGTGGACCTGAGAGACCTAAAGACCTGAGGTGACACCCGAGTCAGCCTGTTCTCAGACAGGTCCAACTCCGCCAAGAGGGCCTGGGAGCTGAAAGTATTTGGATCAATTGCCCCGATCCTGTTCTTATTCAGCCTGAGACTCGTGAGGTTGGCAAGCCCACTGAGCGTGAACTCATTCAGAGCTTCAATCTGGTTTTCTGTGAGGCTGAGCTCACTGAGGGTCCCGGGCCAGCTGAACCACTTTGGGTTAATCTCTCTGAGCAAGTTCTGGTTTAAACTGAGATTTGTGAGGTCTTGGAAAGAACTGAAGGCCCCTCCAGCAATCCCTGTGACACCAGCACTGTCGATCCTGAGCCTGGTTACAGAGGCAAGGCTGTCGCTGCGTAACACAGTGGAGTTTATCTCCCCGACATCCTTCAGAATCATCACCAGAGATGAGTAACCAGGCCTAAAAGCTAAGAGAACAGTATTACAATTACATTCAGGTGTTATTGGATATGTAACCTGAAACAGAAAAAGTC